TTTGCTAGTTGCACCAGACGTTTCATGTATTGCACTGTGCACTACACTTACTGCACAAGGAGTTTAATTATTCCGTTCTGCACTGCCCTTACTGCGCTGGGCTTATTGCACTGGGCATTTCATTTAATGCACTGTGCATTGCCCTTCCTGACCCAGACATTTAATTTACTGCACTGAGCATTGCACTTACTTCACTGGGTGTTTCATTATTGCACTGTGTATTTCACTGATTGCACCAGACATTTCATTTATTGCACTGTGTATTTTAGTGATTGCACCAGGCATTTTGTATTTTGCACTGTGCATTGCACTTATTGCACCGGGTGTTTCATTTATTGCACTGGGCACTGGCACTCGTTGCTCTGGGCATTTCGTTTGTTGCAGTGTGTATTTTGCTAGTTGCACCAGACGTTTCATGTATTGCACTGTGCACTACACTTACTGCACAAGGAGTTTAATTTATTCCGTTCTGCACTGCCCTTATTGCACTGGGCTTATTGCACTGGGCATTTCATTTAATGCACTGTGCATTGCCCTTCCTGACCAGACATTTAATTTACTGCACTGAGCATTGCACTTACTTCACTGGGCGTTTCATTTATTGCACTGTGTATTTCACTGATTGCACCAGACATTTCGTATATTGCACTGTGCATTGCACTGATTGCACCAGGCATTTTGTATTTTGCACTGTGCATTGCACTTATTGCACCGGGTGTTTCATTTATTGCACTGGGCACTGGCACTCGTTGCTCTGGGCATTTTGTTTATTGCAGTGTGTATTTTGCTAGTTGCACCAGACGTTTCATGTATTGCACTGTGCACTACACTTACTGCACAAGGAGTTTAATTTATTCCGTTCTGCACTGCCCTTACTGCGCTGGGCTTATTGCACTGGCATTTCATTTAATGCACTGTGCATTGCCCTTCCTGACCCAGACATTTAATTTACTGCACTGAGCATTGCACTTCCTTCACTGGGCGTTTCATTTATTGCACTGTGTATTTCACTGATTGCACCAGACATTTCATTTATTGCACTGTGTGTTTCAGTGATTGCACCAGACATTTCATTTATTGCACTGTGTGTTTCAGTGATTGCACCAGACATTTCGTATATTGCACTGTGCATTGCACTTATGGCACCAGGCATTTTGTATTTTGCACTGTGCATTGCATTTATTGCACCGGGTGTTTCATTTATTGCACTGGGCACTGGCACTCGTTGCTCTGGGCAATTCGTTGTTGCAGTGTGTATTTTGCTAGTTGCACCAGACGTTTCACGTATTGCACTGTGCGCTGCACTTACTACCCCGGCCGTTTCATTTGCACTGATTGCACCGAGCGTTTCACCAGTTGCGCTGGGCACCCCCTCACTGCCCCGCGCACGGTGACGGTGGCCCCCGCACCGGTTGGTAACGCAGGGCTGGGGCAGCTGTCGGCGCGGGAGCTGGCGGCGGCGGCGGGGCGAGCGGAAGGCGGCGAGCCGGGCGCTGTCGGCGGAGCTGGTGGCCCAGCTGGCGCGGCGAGACGAGCTGGCGTTCGAGAAGGAGGTGAAGACGGCGTTCATTGGGGCGCTGCTGGCGGTGCAGGGGGAGCAGCGGGAGCAGCGGGAGGCTGCCCGTCGCCGCCGTCGCGACAGGGGGCTGAGCCTGCAAGGGGGGCGCCCCGAACGCGGGAACCACATGCCCCGGAAGGTGGGGGGTGCTGTGGGGCAGGAGGACGTGGGACGGGGGGGGATAAGAGATGCGGGGATTGTGGGACCGGGGGGACACGGGGCGAGGAGATCTGGGATGGATTGGGGGGGGGGGGGACATGGGATATGGGACAGGGATGTGGGAACATGGGGCAGGGGATGGGGGGGACAGGTTGGGTGATGAGACGACGTGGAACGGGGATGTGGGGACAGGGGGAGGTGGGGATGAGGGGTGGAGACACGTGGGGTGGGAATGTGGGGAGGGGGGACACGGGGCGAGGAGGTCTGGGATGGGGGGGGGGGGGGGACATGGGATATGGGACAGGGATGTGGGAACATGGGGCAGGGGGATGTGGGGGGACAGGTTGGGTGATGAGACGACGTGGAACGGGGATGTGGGGACAGGGGGAGGTGGGGATGAGGGGTGGAGACACGTGGGTGGGAATGTGGGGAGGGGGGACACGGGGCGAGGAGGTCTGGGATGGGGGGGGGGGACATGGGACAGGGATGTGGGAACATGGGGCAGGGGATGTGGGGGGACAGGTTGGGTGATGAGACGATGGAACGTGGGGGATGGGGACAGGGGGAGGTGGGGATGAGGGGTGGAGACACATGGGGTGGGAATGTGGGGACGGGGGACACGGGGCGAGAAGATGGGGGGACGTGGACAAGGCATGGAGGGCAGGAGAGTGGGGGGGTGACGGGTTCAGTGACAGGACAGGGCAGAGAGACGTAGAACAGGGGGACACGGGGGGGGTTGTGGGGACAGAGGGGCACAGAGCAAGGAGATGTGGGGTGGGGAATGGGATGGAGGGATATGGGGACAGGAGAGGGGATGAGGCAAAGGGACATGGGGACAGGAGAATGGGGGGACGTGGGTGTGGGTGGCTGGGAAACAGGGGGACACGGGGTCAGAGGGAGGGGGGGGGATATGGGAAAGGGGGGATGCAAGTCAGGGAGCCGTTGGTGCCAAGGGAGGTGCGTGGGTGATGCCCGTGTCCCTGGGAGGTGATGGGGTGACGCGTGTGTCCCCAGCGATTCAGCATGGAGGGCATCTCCAGCATCCTGCACTCGGGCCTGCGCCAGACCTTCGGCACCGCTGCCAACGAGAAGCAGGTGCCCTTTTCCTCTTTTTCCCTCCAAAATTGCCCGAATCTGTCCCCTTTCACCACCACCTCTGCACACCCCGTTCTCCTGCATCCCCCAAACCCCTTTCAAAATATTTTTTAAGTTTGCAGCCCCGTTCTGTCCCCTACACCCCCGAATCCATCTTGCAAAAATCATGTTTTTCACCCTAAGAAATCCTCACTAAGCAGGGCTTTGCATTTGGGTGGGTTTTGCAGCATACAGTTAATTCCGTATGCCCCCAAATACCTGCAGATTAAATGCAATCGCAGGAAAATTGGAGACATACTCTACATTTGCATTAATTTGAGTTGATTTGTAGCAAGGCATTGCAAAAAATAGGCAATTTTGTCCCATGTGGGTGTTTTTGGGGGTGGTTTTTTTTTTTGCAGTACCTGAACACAGTGATTCCCTATGAGAAGAAGGGGTCACCGCCCTCTGTTGAGGACCTGCAGATGCTCACCAACAGTAAGTATTTGTTCAAGCTGGTTTTGGGGTAGAGTCGGACATTTTGCATTGCCGCAGAATGGCAGATTTGGAACACAAATGCACATTTTGCATTGCTGCAGCAGCTGCAATTTGGCTGCATCAATGCAATGCAGCCAGTTTGGGGTGCAAAACCCTTTTTTTTTTTTTTTTTTTTTTGGATTGTTGCAGCAGGGGCAATTTGAGATGCTACCATGTATGTTGCATCGTTGTAATAAAAGCCATTTCAGCGGGGAGAAAGACCCGTTTTGCAGCATGGCAGCACAGCTGGTTTGGGGTGCGATCACGCATTTTGCATCACTGCAGCACAGCTGATTTGCAGCAACCCCTCCCTATTTTTGCATCCTACACCAACACCAATTTGAGGGTAAAAGAGTAAAACACACATTCTGCATTGCCACAGATAGGTTGATTGGAGGTGAAAGTGCTTTTTTTTGGATTTCTTGGGCCTTGTGCATAGGGGGAGACTCTGGCAGTGTCTCTGTAGGGCTGGTTTTGGGTGGAAAAGGGACATTTCGGGGGCAGTGGGGCCAGGCTCACAGTTCCATTCCCCTCACAGTCCTGTTTGCCATGAAGGAGGGGAACGAGAAGGTGCCCACACTGCTCACGGACTACATCCTCAAAGGTATCTGCTCGCATCATGCATCCCCCGTGCACCCTTGTGCATCCTTCATGCAGCTCCTGGACAGCCCTGGCGCTTCTTTGCATCCACCACGGATCCTTCCCGCACCCCTGTGCATCTCCCTTGCATCTTGTGTGCCTCCATCCTGCCTCTCCATTCATCCTTTACACATCTCTTGTGCATCCAGGTGAACACTAGGTACATCCGTGCATCCCTTAGGCATCCTTCATACATGTCCGTGCATCCTTTCTGCATCCTTGTGCATCTCCCTTGCATCCTTCCTGCACCTCCCGTGCATCCTTCTGCATCTCCCTTCCATCTTGGATGCATCCCTTGCCCGCTCCTCGTGCATTTCCATATATCCCTTGTGCATCTCCTGTGCATCCGTCGTGCATCTTTTGTGCAGGCCTCATGCATCCTCACTCACTTTCATAGGTCACTGTGCATCTTCCATGCACTCCCTTGCACTGTTACGTGACCCATCTGCTTCCTTCATGTAGCCTTACAAATCCCTTTTACCCCTTGTGTGCCATCGTGCATCCCTCCTATGCATCCCCATTCATCCTTCATGCATCTCCTGGGCACCCCTCCTGCATCCCTCACAGCTCTTGTCCATCTCATGCAGCCTCCTACATCCTTGTGCATCCCTCGTGCACCCATCGTGCACGCCTCGTGTGTTCCTTGTGCGTCATTTCCATGTTCCTCCTGCATTCTCTCTGCATCCCATTTGCAGCCACTGGGCAGCCTCCTGCAGCATTCACGTATGCTTGTGCATCCTTGTGCACCCACATGCACGCTCACACATCCTTTCTGCATGCTCATGAATCCTCGTGCATACGTGCACACTCACACACCCTTGCACCCCCCGTGCATCCTGTGCACAGTCGTGTATCCTCATGCAACCCCCCACACACCTTCGTGCATCGTGCATCCTTGCACACCCATGTATATCCCAGTGTGTGCTTGTGCACTCTTGCACATCCCCAGCGGAAGCCTGTGCATCATTGTGCGCTCTCGTGGATACCCATGCACACTTGTGCATCTCTGTGCACACTCCTGCATCATCATGCATCCTTATGTACCCCTATGCACGCTTGTGCATCCTTGCACACCCTTGTGCATCTTTGTATGTGCTCATGTACCATCACGCAACCTCCTGCATCCCCGTGCGCACTCGTGCATCGTCGTGCACCCATGTGCAACCCCACACATCCCTGGTGCACACCAGTGCACACCCATCACCTCTCTCTTTGCAGTGCTCTGCCCAACCTGATGCAGCGCTGCCCTCGTGCCCCCCCCCCCCCAACTCGGCACCCCCCTGAAAATGGGGCCAAACCTGAGGAAAAAGGGTTGCCTACGCCCCTCCCCTCTCTCTGCACTCCCTCCACCTTTGCACAGCTGGGAAATAAATAATTCGTTTCATTAAATAAGCAACTGGCCTCCGTGTCTTCATCCCCACTGCTTGCAACATTGTTTTGAAAATTTTCAATAGAAAAATGCACTTTTGTGGCAAAAAAAAAGGCAAGGATTTTGCTGTGATGCTAATGAATATTCAGAATTTTATAAAATATGCAGATTTCTGGCTAACGAGCTGCTGAGTGCTCAGCTGGCTGCAGCGCCGCAGGCAGCCGCCACAATTGGAGGAGCAAAATTCAGCTGTAAATTCTATTTTGAGGGGATTTTTCCCATTTTTAGCTTCTCGATAGCCCCATTTTCTGCTAAAAATTGTGCAAAAATCACCTTTCTGTTCCAGATCAACTCATTAATTAGAAGGGAATGGGGGGGAGAGGGGGGGGCGCTTCCATTTTGGGGAGAATTTTTAGGATTTGTCATTCATTTGGGGGACAGTCCCTAATTTGGGGGTCATGGTTCATTATCAGAGAGTGTCATCCATGTTGGGGGCAAATTCAGTCATTTAGGGGGAGGTTACTTATTTGGGGGAGATTTACTCATTTTTGGAGTGTTGCTTGCTTTTGGGGATAGTCACTCATTTTTTGGGCGAATGAGTAGTTTGGGAGAGCATCTTTTTGCAGGGCTGTCATTAATTTTAGGGAGTATTGCTCATTTTAGGGGAGAATTGCTCATTTGGGGGGAAACCTTTTGGAGAGCATCGTGGTTTTGAGACGATCAATCATTTTTGGGGCACTGCTTCAAAAAAATTACCCATTCTGGAGAAGAGACACTAATTTTGGGGACCGTTGCTTGTATTTGGAAAGCATCCCTGATTTGGGGGAATATTGTTCATTTTGAGGAAATACTTTTTTTGGGGAAACACTTCAGTTTTGGGGAGCATAATGTTTTGGGGAAGCATCACTCATTTTGGAAGATCACTCATTTTTGGGGGGGATTTCCCGTCTTGGGTAACGTCATTGTGTTTTGGGGAACATCCCTTATTTTTTGAGAATGTAACTCATTTTGGGGTGAACACTGTGTAACGTTTTGTGGGTATATCACACGTTTTGAGGGAGCATCATTCATTTGGGGGTAAAATCACATTGGAGCTCATTTTGGTGGAGGGGCATCACTTATTTTTGGAGGAGCATCGCTTTTGGAAGTTTAAATCCTATTTGTGCCACATCACTCAATTGCAGATTTGGGTCAGTTACCCCTTTTGGGGCTGATTTGCCTGTTTGATAGGAGTTTTGCCCATTTTGGGGGGTTATTTACCCATATTAGGGCTTCTCCGCTCACAGGAGGAAGCTGCCAATAAAATACAGCTGCAAAACCTCATCTCGTAGCACTTTATAATAAATGGCCATGAATTAAAACTAAATTACAATGAATCCTTTATGAAATTACAGATTACATTCACACCAGATCAGTATCGAAAAATAGGCTTTTCTGCCCATTGCATCACTTTTTGTTTGTTTTTGTTTTTTTTTTTTCCCCCGGCTGCTGGGTTTTTTTTTTGTTGTTTTTTTGTTTTTCCTGAACTCTTCAAGAGTCAAAAAACAATGACAAAACCAGCAAAAAGCTGCTAAAAAAATTAATCCTTCTTACAGAAACCTGCATTTAGAGGAGGAACCTGCAGAAGAAAATTCCTTTATTATTTTTGCCCTGCATCACCCAGGTTTGCTTTTGCAATTCTCCTTGCGCCACATTTTAAGGTGAAATTTGCCCTTTTGCTAGAATTTTAAAAAACCCAAAATGCGTTGTTGTTTTGCGGAACTGCCCTCTCCCGTGGCTCCTTTGGGGTAAAACTCCACCAGTTTCCCACACAGGTGGACAGTATCAGGGAGAAACCATCTTTCCATTAACAATATTGAATTTCCTTCCACCTGGGCAAATCTTGCAGGTCACCATTCAATTTTGGGTGAAGATCTGCATTTTTTTAAACCCTTTTTTTTTCTGACTCGGTGCCAAAGCACCTTGCAAGTCTCACTCCTGGCAGCCTTTGCCCCAACTCTGCGTCTAGTCTCAGCCCTTAAGGATGAGGATGGGGTGATTTTTTTTTCCAGATTCGGCTGGGTTTTAGCACATAAATTAAAGGATTTGAGGGAATTTCCTCCCTTTTCCAGAAAGTTGCATCCAGAGTCACCAAACGGCCACTGCATCGGGGCCAAAACGGGCAATATGGTGGGTCAAGAGCGCCAAACCCTCCTCAGATCCGACCTCAGGCGGAATTTGCAGTCGCCAATTTTTTTTTTTCCCCTGCGTGCCGATATTTATGCCTGTGAATCATCTTTTCTGGGGAAAAAACGAAAAACATCAGTCCTGGGGTTGGTTTGTTGGTTTGTTTTTTTTTTTTTTTGCACCAAGAAATCCAAGTGATGGACGCAGTAGCCCACAGTGAAAACCTGCTGTTGCCCAACAGCATCCGAGCATCACATGGGGACAGCAGCTTCCCCTAAGAATGCTTTTTCTTACCAAAAATGAAGGGAAAAAGGGAAAAATAAAAATAAAACCTGAAAAAAAAAAAAAAAAAAACAACAATCTGGCCACAATATGTGCCTTGTAAACATGTGTCCTTCACTTCCACACACAGACGTGGTGGTCCCCGTGCTCCTGTGGGCAGCCAGGGCACCCGCCAGTGCGTCCAATTTGCTTTTTTGTCACTAATTTTGTTTTTGTCCTTGCCTTTTTTCTTGGCATTTTGGGGGTCATTTTGTTTCCGGTGCTGTCAATGGTTTGGGGAGGGTGCAGGAGGAGTTATTCCAGTGAGTCACTGTGGTCCAAGCCAAGGTCGGTGCCAGGCGCTGCGGAAGACCACCAGGCTCTTCCTCCAGCTCTTCCTCCTCTTCTTCCTCCTCCTCCATCTCGTCCTCATCCTCCTCATCATCCTCTTCTTCCTCAGTGCCGTCAAGGGAGTCGTCGTGAGCCGCCAGCATGGCCTGCTGCATGGCCATGGTGGCCGTGGCTGACGAGAGGGGTTGCAGGTTGTCCATGCTGAGTGACCCTGAAATTTAAAAAAATTATAGAAATCAGGACTTCTCAGTTAATATAAAGAGGACAAAAAAAAATGCATAAACCAGGAATAACCCAAGTGAAAAGCTGTACCTAGACAGAGCACCCTGCAGGGTGTCCCACCTGTCCCAGGCCCTCCCCAAGGTCCAACCCTTAATTTTTTTAGCTAACATATCTACAGTAGGTAACAAGAAACCTTCATTTTTGAGCAAGCAGGTGCCCAGATGGGTTTGGCAGATCTCTTCATCTTCTCTTAATTTCCACTTTCCCTTCTGTTCATCTGCTCTCATCTAGTCCATTCTCATGTCTGCCCTTGTCACCTTCTCTTCATCTTCTCCTCTTCATCATCTGTTCTCTCTTCACCTTCTCATCTTGTCTCATCTGTTCATCTGTTTATCTTCTTTCTTCTCATCTTCATCATCTCTATTCTCTTCATTTTCATCATCTGTTCTCTCTTCATCTTCTCTTCATCTTCTTTCTTCCCATCTTGTCTCATCTTTTCCTAATCTTTTCATCTTTTTTTCATCTCTTCTCCTCTTCCCATCTCCCCCTCCACTCTATCCCAGGACTGCAGGTGATATCTCAAGTGATGCCCCATAGCGAGTGATCCTTGAGGGCTGTTCCTAAGCCAGGGAGATGGCAGTGTCCCACTGTCAGTGCCCTTGTGATGGCCAACTGGAAGGACCTTCTTGCATGGGCCACCTTGTCAACATGTTTTTTCCCCACAGGGGGATAAAGGGGTCTAGAAATCCATAATTAGGCCATAATTTAATGCATGGCCACCCCATCCGGGAAGGGCAAGGGGCTGTCAGGGCTTGTCCTTACCATCAGGATTTGTCCCTGAATTGCCACCCTGCTGCTGCAGGACCCCAGCGGCGATGGAGTTGGGCCAGAACCGCTGAGTGGGCCGGTGCTGAGATTTGATTTTCTTGGCTTTGGGGGCTGGGTCCGGGTTGCTGGCGTCAAGCATTGGTTGCAGGATGCGCCGTCGGGCATTTATGAACCTTGCCAGGTAAGAGAGAAACGATTCGAGTAAATAAGAGTTATTAACATCAATTTTGAGTTAAAACAACAGACATTGTAACAGTTCAATAAGTTACAATATAAAACCCTTTCAAAAGTGGCTGCGTGGTCCAAAAAGCTGGGGGGTTCTACCCTATTTTATTTGTCTGTGGCATTGCATTAATTTTTCCAGCTGAGTTGGAGGTTGCTACATATGGAATTTGCCAGGAGAGGGCACTAGGACACTGCAAATGAAAGCCAACAATTAAACACACAGGCACCCATGTCCCAGAAATAGGCCCTAACCACCCAAGTTACCACCGAAACAGCATTATATAGCGCCAAAATAGCGTGAAAAAATTTCTAAAGCCAGCAACATGACTGCATGGGCCACCGATGCACTCACCAGTTGTTGACTTGCAAGAGGGTCAGGTTGGTTTGGGCAGCAATTTGCCTCTTCTCGTCCTCTGTGGGATAGGGGTGCTAGAAATAAAGAGAGATGTGGCAGCAAAATTACATCCCTGTGTGCAAAACAGCACCCTCAAATGAAAAATAAAAAGAAAACCCCCATTTTTTTCATTTTCCCATGCCAAATTTGGTGGGCTCCTGCATTTGCAAGATGCAAGGCTTAACGGTGGCATCCAAGAGCATCCTGGTGTCCTTAGGGCTTTTCCAAGGCTTTCCATCAAATGCTTTTCCTTGAAGGAAAATTGTATTTTCTTCTTTTTTTTTTTAGCGATTTTCTAATAATGGTTGTTGGTAAAGGTGGGATTTGGGCTTCAAAACTCACTGTCACCCACAATGCTCCTTGTCAGATTCATCAATGAAACACCCCAAAACATCTGCACTGGGAGACTACCAGTGCTCAAAGCTTCAACAACCTGCTCCCAACCGTGCTAAAATCCTTTCCAACCCCAGAAATTACATTATCAAACCAGCCCCGTGTCTCATTTTTCAGACCCCCCAAGCCAGCACCAGTGTTGATTCACATAACTTGTTTTCCAGCTGTTTGCCCCCAAAATAGTGTGATTTCCTTGACAAAACCACCCAAAGTCATGGCATGCAGGAGACTCCCATCCTACTGGGGTCTCAGGGATGCCAAAGTGGTTAGAAATGGCTCTTTTTTTGGCAAAAGCGTCACCATTTTTGGCACAATATTTCCAGCATTCCTTCCTTCTGCTGGTGCTACAAAACTTCCAATAAAATGATGAACATCAATGCTACTAGGTTAAAACCCACATCATCTATGATGCCAGATGGAGAAATCCCATGAGGAAGCCCAAGCATCTTCTGACCATGAGGACCAGACTGAGAGCAAAGGTCCAACCATCCAGTAGAAGAACAATTTCATTTATTTTTTTCAATCCAGTTTTGGAAATCTCAAACTGGGGGGGGTTCTCTTGGCACCTGGTAGAAAATGGCTCCTCAACTGCTGGTCTTCTAAATCCTTTTTCTGCTTGCAAATCTGCAGTTCAGCCCTCCAAAAGCATGGGAGATTCACAGCGCAGATTGGGATGGCGGCCCAACACAGTGATACTTTTGTCCTCAACGCAATAAATCCAAAATTTCCTATTAAAAAAAAGCTGGAAAGTTCCCAACCAGCTGCTGCTCCATGTCCTGGGTCATGTTTTACTCCAAGTTGCTCCTCGGAGCTGCTATTTTCTGTCTTGCTGTTATCTGTGGGTCTTCCAACTTCCAGGAGACCCTCATGCAACTCTGCAAGTAGTTTCCAAGTGATTTCTTTGCCAAAAGGCTTTTTTTTTTTTTAGCTTTTTGCCCTTCTCCCAGCCCTGCTGGTGGAAGAGCAATCTCCCTGAGTGAAAATATCCTAGTTGCATCCTCTGAGCTCCCTCTGTCTGCCTACATCTTCAACCCTGAAAATGGGGTCATTTTGTAATTCTGTATTTCAACTGACTGCTGATGTGTCACAACATTACCTGCAGGGCAGCTTTCACACCCCAGCTTGCTGGAAAACAGTATTTTGGAGCTGTTCACTGGAAAAAAGCACTCCATCACCCATCCACAGTAATTTATGGAAGTCCCCCTCTGGTTTTGTTTGCTTCTTCATGCATGAAGGGAGTATTTTTGCCACCTGCAGTGAAAACGGTCATCCCCAAAATACTCCCAAAATAAAACCAAAGCCACCTTGTGCCTCTGAATGTGATTTCAAACAAACCACCATCTCGAGCTGTTCAGTTTTGGGGCTTTTTTGCGTTTTTTTTGTTTGTTTGTTTTTTCCAGCTTTTCAGGGTGTTTTGGTGGCTGCGGTGCTCACCATGAGATGCTGGAAGAGCCATGAGCGCATGATGTTGGTGGCATGTTTGGGCAGGACTCCCCGCTTGTTCTTGGACTTCTTGTCCTCACCATCGAGGAGGGAGGTGAGATCCAGGTTCACCTGCCGGGGGAGAGGAACGGGGAGAGAATTGGCTGAACACAGCGATGGACAACCCAAAAAAACCAAGCAAAAACCAACCCCAAAAATTAACAAAACCAATCCAAAACGGGCATGGGGCAAGTGCAAAAAAACAAGCACTTGCAGAGAGCATTCAAACCCCCTTTTCTCCCCCAAAAAAATGTGCATTAAGTCCACATTTTGCCCAGGATCTGTATTTAATATCTCAGGGGTTTTGCCATTGTTTTATAAGGGGCAATGAGCATTGTCTCCCTGCTGTGGCACCGGCACAGTTGGGGACCGTGGCGGTGATGCCACGACCATTTTTGATGGTCAACTAAGGAAAAAAACGCTTTCACCTTAAAAAACAACAACAAAAATCCAAAATTATGACTTTCTAAACTGGAGGTTAAAACTCTGCCACTCATTAACCCCTTGCAAACCTGCATTCCTCACCCAGATGATTCTCACTACGAGGTGAAACATGCCCACTGGGTGAAAATTTGTTCTTTTTTCCCCTCAAAATGCAAAATAAATCTCTTGCTGCAAGAGAAGTTTTAATGAGGATGTGAGAACTGAACTGAAATCTCAGCACTTGAGTTAAAAAGAGATTTTTTTTTTTTTTTTATTTTCCCCAGCTCTTCATCAAAACACTTCTCCTGGATGAATTAAACATCAGGCCAGCAGGTCCCTGCAATTCCCCTGGGCTCCAGCTGAATAAATCATGCCAGCGGCATGGGGAGAGCATCCAGAGGTGCTTGTCCAGGGCTCTGTCCCTGCCCCGATATTCCCTGCTTGCATGTTTTCTCCACCACAGATTGTTTTGCTGCAAGATTTAAGCCCATGTCAGAGAGACATTAAAGAAAGAAATTTGAAAAAGCATTGCACAGGCAATAAAACCTGCCAGGCAGGTGCCAGCTTTTCTTTTTTTTTTTTTTTTTTTTTTTAAAAAAAAAGCCTCCTGCAATTAAATTGGGTCTTTTCAGAAAAAAAAAAAAAAAAAAAAAAAAAAAAAATTGTGTGGGGTGATTTTTGCTGTTCTGCCCCTGGGAAGCATCAGAGCAGAAATCAGTGGGTTTTTGAGTAAATTCCTGGGGAATGGGGATTTGGAAGAGATCAGGTGCAATGCAGCCAACAGGTTGCAAGTTGTCCTAATAAATCCATTCTACCCCAAATGGTCACTTTGTTGCAAGAATGCAGCCATGCAGGGAAACCCCACATAGTTAATTACAAGGACCAAAAAAAGGAATAAAACCAGAGCAAATGGCTAAAAAATATCCCAAAATCCATAAAGTAAGGAAAAAACATGAGCCTTTCCCACAAGCGCTGCGATTGCCATACCAGACAGGCAACACCAGTGATCCCAGATCCATAATACAATCGCAATATTTTCCATATGCATATAAAAATAAAATGCATATGTAAAAATAAATTTATATATTAAAATATAAATTCTTTTTATAAATAAAGTCTATAAATGTATTTATAGATATATTTATATATAAATATATTTTCAATATTCTCTATAATATAAAAACAAATTTTTATATATATTTTTGTTTATATGTGAATAGCACATATGTGCTTATATAATATTTTATATAATATTATTTTAAAGTATATATTATCATATCATATACTATATTATAATATTATAGTGTTGTAATAGGGTTATATTCTATAGTAAAGGAATAATATAAGCATTGCTATAATTTGTTAGGTACCCCAAAGGTGCCCGGCAGATGGGTTTAATCAATGTTTCTTCCTAGTTTAAAATTTAGGATACTCCAAGGGTTGAATTTACGGAGAAATTGAGGCTTTTGCTTGCTGCAGCAGTGCAAAATGTTGCATAAAACAGAAATTTGAGGTGTGAAGTCTTACCTGGGCACTGGGGATCTGCAGGGCACCAGGGGCGATGGCTTGGGCGAGGACCTGGCCCTGCGATGTCACCATCGTCACTGGCTGGTACAAGGCTCCACCTATGAAAAAAAAAAAAAAAAAAAAAGCTCGTGGGGGGTACCAAACCCCCAAACTTCTACGCCAGCCTGCCCCGTTGGTCCCTACCTGGCACGGCGGGTGAGCCGCTGCCAGCGCTCATGGCCAAGTTGCCCGGGGGTAGCGCGGCCGTCGGCACCGCAATGCCCGGTGGCGGGTTGGAGGCGGGCGGCAGGGCGGCGGGCGAGCTCTGCAGTATCTCCTGGGGAAAAAAAAAAAAAAAAATTACTAAAAACGCGACTTTTCACACACGGTGGGAGCATGCAAGGTCCCCCCCAATAAATTCGCCCTGTTCCTTCTTTTTTTTTTTTTTTTTTTTTTTTTTTTTCCCCTAGGCGGTTCAAAATGCAAAACTGCAGAAAAAGGGATTTTTTTCAGTTTGTTGCAATTGAAAAAAAAAAAAAGGAAAACCAAGGATTTACAATTTGCAAAGCTCCCACTTAGTGTCTTCCCCAATCCTGGCTTCTTTGTGCAGCCACTATTTTCTATAAGGAAAAAAGAGAGGGGAAAAAAAAAAAAAAAAAGAGCATGATAGACAAGAAGGAATTTCTTTAATATCCTTCTTTCTATAAACTTCTATTTTTTTGGTGCTTTGACTAGAACTGGTTGATGCAGCATTTGCTAAAAGTCAGGGCAAGCACCACAGTTTCACCTTGCCAGAATACTAGTAAAATAATGAAATTAACATTAATATAACCCCATCTGACATCATTCATTTCATCTTTAAGCTAACTTCTTGCAAAAATGGGGATTTTTTTAGCCAAAAGCTGTAATCTTATTATCGGCCCCAGCTCAGGAGCAGCTCTTGCATGTGAACAGCAATTGGAAAAAGCCCAAACTGAATGATTATTTGAGTATATAATGTAACATTTTGAGAAGGGAAGGATGCCACAACTGAGGATATGGGGGAATGCAGGGAGATGTACCACAACCTGCCAGATGGGCAGGATTTTGCAAATAATATTTATAAAATTATAATTTTGAAATAAGCCCAAGATAACTGTATATCTCTAATTCACCCAGCTGTAGTGGAAATAAAACTGCACTCGTTTCTTGCAATAAAAATATTTTTCCCCCTTTTCAACCTTTTTCCTGCATCACTTCCCTGGTGTTCAGCTGATTCTCAATTGTTGAACAAAATGCTAACAAAGGGGATTTTTTTTCACCTTTTTCTTAAATATCCCTTAATTTTGATGCATTTCTTCAAGAAACCTATTACTTGACTTAAGAAAAGAGAATTTCTCTGGAGTAGTGACATGCAATGACACTGGAAAAGGTGACCACACAAACAAGGTTGGGTGGGAAAAAGCCGTAAGGTCCTCCTTTCCTTGCAATAAAACTACAGAGATAGGAATTTGAGTGCACAAATAAATTAATTTTACATCAAGAGGTGATGTGGGTGCATCATTCAGTGGGGAGTTAAGGTACTGCTGTGTCCACATCAATGCATTTCCCACCACTGGCAGGAAAAAATGTCGGGTTTGGTCCTTTTTTTTTTTCCTTTTCCCCATTACATTCCTGCTTCTTATCAGTTCTTTTTCCCATCAGTCACCACCAATTTGCCTGTATAAACTCAGATTTCCCTGCATGCTTTTGCTATTAAAATCCCTTGCTGCATTTTCCCCTCCCATGATGCCAAGCCCCAAAATGTTGCAACCAACAGCTCTGCCACATGTTATTTTTGTCCTCTCTATTGATGATCTGAATATTATTTATCTGGAAGTTTTACTGCAATTGCTGTGAAATTTTGCTTTGCCTCCTAGATATTCCTTTTCACAGCACAATTAATTTAAACAAATGCAAATATGACTGCAAAATACTTGCACTTTTTTTAATAACCCCTCCCCATCTCCAGCCTTTTAGAGGAAATGGTTTTCTGTTTGAAAACTGAGGATTTCGCAGCATAAAGAAAGCAAAAACCAGTCACTTTTGCATGCACTTGGATTTGGCTTTTGCTAAGCATCTGGCTAACAAACACGGTGGAAATAATCATATAAAGCCAAATGTGGTCCTTGGAGAACTTCAAAAAGCAGTCAGATACGGCCAGGGGCAAGCAGAGATTTATTTGGACCAGCCTGAAGACTTCAGTTTTCCTCTCCTGCCTTGTTTTTCCATGATTCCTCCAGAAGAAGGGCATCCAGAAGACTATTTTTGGAACTGCATTGGGAAGAAACACTTTGGGATATTGGAAAATGGGAACAAGAAACTGCTGTTTCCAGATCTAGTGGTCAAAGCCATTTTCAACAGCATTTTATGAAGACAAAAATTGCATTTTTTTTTGGTGGTGTAGAGGAAAACTGCCCCAGAGCACCAGTTCAGTGGTGACAAAAAAGGGACAATATTGGAAATTATTAGAAAAAGATATGAAATAAACTCAGAGTGTTTCTGGAATGGCGCTGTGAAACTAAGGGTACCCAGTGGAAGTGGAGGCTCTGCCTTAAAATATATTTTTCATACTAATTGCCTTGGATCAGAAATGCCAAGCCAAATTATATTACACTTGTGATTTTGCTGCAGTGGAAAATATTTGATATTTTAGGACTCAAAGAAGTTTAAATGTTTCCGGCAATTTGAAACTTCAAGTGTAAAAAATGCGTCACTAGGTGTCTCTGCAGATCCACAACTCAGCACTGACCTTCCACAGCTCTATGGCAAAACACCATTTCTCCACTTAAAAGTCACTTTAATGAAGAAGAAGACCTGGCATGTATTGCATTCCACAAAAAAAAACCACCCTTTCTTAAAATATGGCAACTGTCAAAACACCAAGAGCCCAAGTGTAAGTGCTAACATCCTGTGCTACTTGAGCTGATGTCCTTCCCCTTGTGCTTTATGATACAGCAATTTATTTTGGGGTGATACACATGCGTAAAAATTTCTGTCTCATTCTAACTATGTGACATTTATTTGTGCTTGAGTAAAGATGGGGAAAGTTTGGTTTAGCTGGCGAAAAAAGGAAACTCATGAGTTTGTTGAGAAAGAGCTGGCCAAACTCAAACTCATGTGAGACTCATAAGGCTCCTTCATGGATGGATGGGTGGATGGATGACCATGAGAAAAAAGTTGGCTTCAAATAACAGAGAAATCCAGGCTTCTACACAGGGCAAACTTGGATAAATTAAGATCTATACAGCGAAGTACTGCAGTCAGGCCAACCCAACTGTCAGCCTCCAACCACCAGCACTATGAGAGACGGAATTTGAGAAGAAATGCTCTCCTGAAAATGTCCATTTAAGCATCGCCAACCTGCTGAAATTCTCACTTGAAACATAGAGCTGAAAAATGCAAGATTTAATCCAATTTAAATGTCCCCTGGCAGTATTATGGTTCCCAATGTGATTGGCTTTCTGGTGGGTTTTTTCTTGCAAGCAAAGTCAACTGGAGAGCAGTGAGAACCACTTTGATGTTGAAGGAAAGTTGAACTGATTTACTTTAAGTGTTGGGTTAAACAAGCACCTCCACTTTCCCATCCCTGTCTGAAAAACTTAATTAATGAAAAATATTCATTAAATGAAGGGAGGGAGTTAAAAAGGGTCCAATGAGGACTCAAGGGAGAGGAGTGAAGCCAAGTGAAAAACAACAAAAAAAAAAATGGAAGAAGGGAAATTTCTTGGTGGACTTGAAGGCCAAAGAGGCTAAAACTCCTCCACAAAACAGGGTGAGGTACAAAATAAGAAAGCAATGGAGAAAACAAGGTGCCAAAATGTCTCTAAGGTAATGAAAGCTCACCACACAGGAGAAAAACCTAACTTTTCACCCAAACTTGGCCAATGACAGGAGTCATCTCTAGATGGTGACATGAGAAGATTTCGTCAACAGTCAGAACACCTGTTTGGGTGCTCTCTTATCTTTCCATCACCTCCAAGCATTTTTGCATTTCCAGAAATTCTTGCATTTTTTATCTTAGAAAGCACAAATAACACCAAGCCAAGGGCCATCCTTTCTGGAAACACCAGGGAAACAACCACGATTCTCCCACAACAGCATTTTGACAGCTCTGGACATTGTTTTCTCAGTTTTGGTTGATAACCTTGTTATTGCGTATCCATAATTTTTTTAGCAGGCTGTCCCCTGGTAAAAACTTTGTAAAAAATGAAAATAATTTGCTTTCCTGACCAAGCTGGTATACCTTCTCACAAAATGATCGATGCCCCCCGCATACCCCAACAAAACCTATTTTCTGAGAAACTTCATTCACTGATACTAATCACATTTCCGTTATTTAGATTTTTTTTTTTATTCCTAAATTAGCTGGTTTACCTGCCTTCAGCATGAGATTAATAGGACGATAGTTAGCGGAGTCATCCCACTTGCCATTTTTTAAACACTTGGTCCAGTGATTCATCAGTTCTCTGGTGCATCCCCAGCCCTTAAAACTCAACTGGTGGATGTAGAGTGTTTCCACCCTTTTTTTAAGCCTTATCTATGCAAACTCAGGTATACCAAATGAGTTGAAGCACTCAGGCACTTGACATTGCTTAGCTGGATAATTAGAAAAAAATCTGCTGTTGTATCATCACTGATACGGCATCTTCATCTAATGACCAGATGAGATGGTGGCTCCTTAGGGTCTACTATCGTGAATTTTTTGGCTCCTGTTGCCAGCTGAAAATCCCTTTGTCGCTGAGTGAGTTTTCCCTCCAGTTGGGTCTTTCCTGGGTGCATTCCCATTTTTTTAACAACTGTCTCCAAATCCTCACTTGAATTTCTCAACTTTCAAGTCTTGCCTGGAAGGGGAACATCAAGCAGCTCTGGGTTTGCAGGAATCAGAGGCATTCGGTACCTCTCCATGGGTCTGATTATTTTCCAAAGACTTGTGCTAATTTTCTGATATGATCCCCACCTCTTTGTGAAGCACTAAATCCTCATTACTTTTCCTGACCGATGCATTCTAATTAGATCAACAGTTTAAAAAAAAAAAAGGAAAAGAGGGAAAAAAAAATCACAATAGCCACAGGACGGCTTTCCATCTCATTAACTCCCTCACTTATTATTTTCATGAAAATTACTGATAAAAAACGTGCATCTCCATTTGCTGGGACGGGGAGCTTCGTCGGCTCATATCTAACATCTCTCTCATCACCCGGGATGCGAGCTGTTGCCATGGTGATGCACAATAATAGAAACTAATAAATTACAAACGAGATGCTCGTTGAGCAATTATTGTTCTCTTTTATGCAAGTGTCTTGCTAATTTTGATCATAAGGAATGCTCCCATAAAGCAGCTAAGGGATAATAAGCCCATTTCTAGAGATTATTACAGAATAGAGAGAGGATGGGGTTTTTTAGATCAATGATTAAGTGGTTTGGTGCTTTCAGGTAACCCAAAGAAGAAACAAAACTTTTTGGGGGGCTTTTCCCTCCCCATGTTGGTCCACAAGTATCATGTTTAGAACTTCAAATTCTGCAGCACTTGAAGCTGAGCTGCTAAAAATGCTGCTAAAAATTATTTTCCTTTTCCACCACCCTAAAAATGCCCTGAAAAGCTCAATAAGGCCCCCAGCACTTGCCTCTTTTTGGGGAGAACCCCAAGAGCTGCCTGGGTCATTTTGGGTCAGCTGCAGTTATTTCTGATGTTATTCTGCAGTTATTTCAACCCCAAATTTCATTTCACCCCCCAAAAAATCTGAGATAGAAATCCCCAAAGGACACACAATATTGCATCAAGGAAGTTTTTGGGGTTGCAACCAGCCAACATGTACTGCCAAGTCACATGAAAACCCCAATCTATGGGCAACTTTTTTTCCAAATAGTAAGTTACAGTCCCTTATTTTTTCCCCAAAAGCCACCAAGGTGCAACTTGATTTGGCCATTTCAGTTGGTATTTCTGAAATTCCTGGGCATCTCCTTGTAATTTCCCACTGTGCTTGAGGCACCAAATGTTTCCTTCTCCCAGCTAAAACCCAAATTATGCAAAACAATAGTCAAGGTGAGAATGTTGATGATGCTGGAGGAGAACTGCAAGATTTTCTGGGGGAAAAAAAGGAGCAGGGAAGCCAATAAGGGTTATCTGAGACCAAAAAAATCTGTTGAGCTGCCTTGAAATGAAGACAAGAATGAGGAGAGAGGAAGTAGTGGAAAAAATCATGGTGTTTCTCTTCCTCCCACAAACAAATAATATTTTTTAATGAAAAAATGCTAATTTTTTGTCCATTTTCCCATGCATTTTCACGGCTTCTGCAATTCCTTCCCCCAAATTTCATTGCTGCAGCATAAGAGTTTAGAAGAAGCCCTCATCTCTCCTTTCTGCAGACACACAAACATTGGTGTTGCACTTCTGCTAAACCCATGAAAAAAAACAGCCATAAAAAAAAAAAAAATTAAAAGCTTGCCACAGCATCATTTATTAAACCATATGAGCAAGATACAGGGTTTTTAAAAATTGTTTTCCTCAGTCAGGGATGGGCTTTGATGAATTTCCAGGAGGCCACAAGAGTTGTAGAGAAACCTTGAAACCTCACTGGCCCAACATGACTGTTGGCCAATGTGCAACAATGTCAATTACAGGCAATTTTAAAGGTGTTACCTGGGGGTGGAGGCTGATGGAGGAGGGGTTGGGGGAGTAGGGCCCCCCTAGGTCATTCCTGAGTAGGTTGTCACTGTGCATCTTGGTTTTGAGGCAGGTGATGTAGCGGTTGCAGAAGTCCTTGCACAACTCGTTGACCTTCTCCAGCTCCAGAAGGTGGATGCGCAGCACCTGGATTGCCTTCACCATCTACACAAAAGCATATTGCAGCAAAGTTAAAATAATTTTTTCCCTCAATGCATTGAAAAAAAAAAACCCAAAATTAATATTCTTACCCAAAATCTAACCTGGAACTGATCCCTATGGTACAATTAAATTTACTTCCTTTCTCAGCACACCAAAAAAAGCCACAAAAATCAATATTCTTGCCCAAAACCCATCCAAGAGCCCATCCCCCTGCGTTTCTTTTCCCTCTCCATTAATCATACCTCTGAAATCCCAAGAAGTGAAAATTCATGAAATTTACCATTGCCTTCATAGGAATTGCTCCTTTGCTCAAAAAAAGGCTGAGCCAAAGCCCTGGATGTTGAAAAGTGTTTGGTTATTCTCAGGAGGCCACTTCTAATAAGATTACAGGGCTGCAACTCCACCATAAGCTGTTGCCAGTGCAAAGCCTGGGCCTCATTAAAACGTACCCCATAAACGTTAAAAAATTTACACATAAAACATTCCTCTCGCCGAGCTGAAACCTTAAGTTTTACAGCCGCTGTTTGAAATCTTGCATAATATATAAAATTTCAGCTATTCACTCCGGGGCAATAAATCCGGTTTTATGTAACAAAGCGTCTTTGCATTTCAAAGGGTGTTTTTAACTTGCAAATTTTAGTGGTCATCTTTACAAACTGCGAGTCGCCATGGTTGGGAAACATCCTGAAAAATCCAGAGCGAAACAGGTGGCAGCTCCACAACGGAGAAAGCAAATTTTCGGTTGAACAACAAGGATGATGAGTTGTGGCTGGAAAAATCCTTTTTTTTTTTTTTGGTCTTTTTTCACTTTTTTTATTCCTTTTTTTTCCTCCTCTGCAGTTGGTGCAGGCAAAGCACAAGGTGGAGGCGTCGCGCCCCGGCTCTCCGCATCCTCCCAGGGCTCAATGGCCATGAAAGTCAATATTCAAGGGCAAAGGCAAGAAGACCTGACACATATATGTATAAAAAATAAATCTCTCAATTATCTCAGCTCATTTGCTTAGGGTCTCATTTTATGTCCCTGCTCTGCTGCGTCGTATATCTGTCCGGATAAAGAGTTACAGTCCGACGGCGTACGTGCGCAGGGTTGTAAAAAATACAGATGCTGAATTAATTGACTGTGTGGCACTCGGCAGCTGATTGAGTTGATAATGGTGAGATCTGACCTTTTTCTAATTTCTAATTATGTGCATCTCGGCGGTGAGGAATACATGACTCTTATTCTAATGATAGCTAATGCAGCTGGCCTTTTCATCCCTGCTTTGCCATCGCCGATTTCCAAGGAATTGGTGGCATTAAAAAAAAAAAAACCACCCCAAAAATAAACAAAAAAAGGGACAATGCAAATAGGGAAAAAGCATCAGCTCGTGAACAGGTTGAAATGTTGAGTTTTGATCACTGTAAGATTTTTTCATCCAAAATTCCCTCCAGTTGGCACTTCCCACCAACAGGAACAGTCCTTCTCCAGCATCACATGAACCATCTCCTCTGTCTTGATGAATGCCAACCACACTGAGCAATTTGGACAGCTTTTGGAGAAGTCTTGGGCACTGGATAGAATACATACATACAGATGCGTCCTCAAAATAGGGAAGAATTACATATATATATATGAATATGAATATGAATATATCCAGTGCTGCAAGGTCATGCATGGGATCAATGCAACTGCCAATAGCCAAATTTCACTTCAGCAGTGAGTTGCTCCAAAACATGCCAAAAAAAGATGATTGGTGTGGGTTTTTTTAAGAAACCACCTAAAATCCAGTGAAAATAGCCTCTGTGGACACATTTCCTGCACTGACCATTTGCTGGAGATGTTTCACCTTGATATGTGTTGATATGTGATAGGCTTTCCTCCTCCCAAATATTAGATTTTTTTTAGCTTCAGGTGGCTTCATGTCTCTCTTGCTAGATCATTGCAACCACTGATATATAATTTAATGTGATGGGTTTTTTTCTGGTGCATCTCAACTTTTGATGCATGTTCAGTCCCAAAACTGAAATAATCCAAAACATTGCTTTTTTTGGTTGCTTGTCCCAGACTGATTTCTGTTCTTGGCTATAAAACATTGTGAAATGGGTTTAGTAATCCACAAACAGGGTTTGCATGACCTGCAGTTTTTTTGGAGGGCTTTCCACAGATGGCCAAGTCACTCTTGATTTAGAGATGTTGCAAAACTCTCCTCCACAAGCCGAAATTGGGCACAAAAGATGCAGGATTTTAATCCATCTTGAAACTGCTTCTTGCTTTGTTTAGGAAAGTGCTAGTTTTTGCACTTGGATGAGCATTGCTTGTTCTTCTTCCTTCCATGACAGGTCATTAGACAAAAATCACCTCCTTGATATCTGTAATATTTGGAAAAAGCTGCCTGTGAATTGCCTGATTTTGCTTCTTTTCTGGGATGGAAATCCCTCTGCTACAAGTCCCAGGGGACAAGCCAACGCCCCAGGGAAGGTGTTTTGCTCTTTGCATCAGCAGAGGTTGGCAAAATTGCCTCTTCTGACCTTACCCAAATGGTGCCATGGACCTGTCTACCAACACACTTGCCATGGAGACAACATGTGGAGGCTTCCTGAACAAAATAATAGGATTTGGGGATGTTTCCTGAGGTCCCCGCAAGAGAAAAGCTTCATCCTAAGCAGAATCTTCTGAGACACCTTCCAGCAGCAACGGGTACACTAGGAAATTTGGGTTGCTACGACAGAGAAGCCACCAGAAATGTCCACAGTGCCCCGAACCATTGATATGCATCACTCTTTTTTGGAAAAGCTCTTATTTTGCCTTGCTTCTAGGACAAGGGCTTGCCATCGCCCTTGAAACACGATGGTGCCAGACGAGAATACAAAACCTATTGCATGTTTCACCAGAGAGCAGCAATTCCTGCAGAGATACCAAGTTTTGAGGCACAAACCAGCCATCTATCTTGGCTGTTTCCAGGAAATCCGTTGACGCCATGGAGTCTGTGTAGGAAAATTAGCCAAAAATTGGGCAGGGGGTTGTTCTCACAGGGCATCTTAAGGAAAAGGTCTCAGAGAAGGTCCTGCAGAAGGTCTCACAAGGTCTATAGAGAACATTATCAAGACAGCTAACACTACAAATGAAGCCCAAAATGTTGCCCAAGGTGGTAGATTTTCATAATTTGTTCCTCATCCCCTACCTTCTTCCCGCCCCCCAAAAAACATCTGCCAAGCCCCAGCTGCCTCTACCAGGTTGTCCAGCTCAGGGTCATCGCTGAAGAAGGGTTTGTGCTCCTGCTCCTGCTGGTGGACAAAGTTCTCAATGTCGACGTCAAAGCTGGCTGAGGTGATGCACTCGGAGCCCTGCGTCGCCTGCTCACACTTCTCAAAGAGCAGAGTCAGCAGCGGGAACAACGGGTGCCTGCAGAGGACAAAGGAGACCACTGATAACACCCACTGGTTTAGGTCCCGTGTCCATTTTTACCCCAGACCATCCATCCATTTCCTCCCAGCTTGCAAAAGCCTGGTGGTGTAAACCTCACTCCCAAGCCAAAGCCGGGAGTGCTCCCTCTAGACCTTTTCCAACAACAACAACAAAAAAAAAAAACGCAAAAATTGCAAGATTCATCTTCTCCACCAGGCAATGACTTCTCCCAACATCTTGGTACTTCCCATCATCGCACCAAACCAGCATTTCCGAATGTTTTGACAGGGACAAAAAAGTTTGGCTTCAGGGTGGTTGTCTTGGAGCCACCTGCTGTCCTGATGGCTTTGCATTTTGGGGATCAACATCAGCACCCACTCATCAATGGTAATATTTTACCCCAAAATGTCTCTCTTGGTTGGAGATGCCAGATGGGGATGAGGTGGTATTTCTATACGCCCGCAGCATCCTATGGACCAACCTTGCTATGGGTTGCTCCTCCACCAAGAGGTCTCTTTCCACCTCTGTCAAGAACATCCATGTCCGTCCATGAAGATGGGTCAAATCCCACTTCTTTCTTACCACAGGATGACTCTTAGAAAACAAAGATTTGCAATTCTTCTAGCAAAGCCACTATTCACTCTAATGATTAGAAAACAGGCTTGCAATTCTTGCAAATCCACAATTTGCTCTAATGACAATGCTTAATCAGTGCAATATAAAATGCAAATATACATACAACACCAAAGCACATGGAGAAGAAGGGGATGAAGACCATGAGTTAGTGCAGTCCTCAACGACCCTCTTCAGCTATGCAAATTTAAAATAAAAAAAAAAATGTATTTATGGAGTCTTTCAGGGGAGAAATGCAAAATGCTGCTCCAGGGATAGTCTCCCACAGCATCCCAGTTATCCCAGTGTAATGGGATCCGCTCCATCATTTTATCTCCAAAAGATGGTCCAAAAGATGATTACGAATCACTTCTCACCAGTCTTTTCTGAGCCGGAGTCAGGTGAAGGGGTTAAACCCCTCGGCTAAGTCTTCATTTGCAGCCGCTAATACCGCAGCATATTATAGTTTAATCTGTCCTGATCCTGGTTTAATGCAAGATTCACAGAGGCTGGAATGGAGAATGGGGAAGGGGGGGAAATAATTTCATAATTTTGGCAGCCCCACCGGGGCTTAGCCGAGGGATATGAAAGGCAAATTCCAGGCAGCAGGCTGAATTATTGGGACTTATGAACCAGCAGCTCAGCGGCAGGTACCTGCTGCCATTTCCAGAGCCGCTCCATCAATTAGGAGCAAAGGCACGAAATTACACCAAGGTTGGGTTGGCTGTTTTTTGTTGTTTGGTTTGGTTTTTTTTTTTTTTGGTGGGGGGAGGGTGTGGATTTCAGCCCCTGAGCAATTTGTAGCCCATTTGCTTTGAGGGGTTGCATCGACCAAAGGGGGATTAAGACCGTTGCTGGCATCACCCCACACTCTTCTGTATTAATAATTGAGGCAGTGCTGCTATTGACCCCCCATGAATGTCTTGGAGCACTAGCAGGGAGGAGTAGGGGGAGGCACAAGGCTGAGTAGGTAATGGTTTGCTTTTTCTGTTGGAAATAAAATAAAATAAAATAAATAAAATAAAATAAAATAAAATAAAATAAAATAAAATAAAATAAAATAAAATAAAATAAAATAAAATAAAATAAAATAAAATAAATAAAATTAAATTAAATAAATAAATAAAATAAAAGAAATTTAAATCAACATAAAAGGAAAACTAAAAATAAATAAAAATTAAAATAAAACAAAAAACCCAATCCAAACCAAAATAAAACAAAACAAAACAAAATAAAATGAATCAACATAAAATAAAATAATAAAATAAAACAAGAGAGAGGTGCAAAACCCCCAGGAATGGGAAAGCATCAAGGCCTGTAGCCGAGCGCAATGCAGAAGAGTGGTGAAATTTGTATTTCTGCCACAAGCTCTATGCTGAATTGTTGTTACAATTTTTCTCCCCTTTTGTATGCAAAATATAGGCAGTTTTCTCTATTTCCAGCCTTCCTGTGGCCGCAACAAGCAGGGGAAGGGAATGACCACCATGGTGGGTTTGCAGGTGGAGACTGGCATGAAAATCGAGAGCTGGATCCCATCCTTGCTTTGATATTTGGGGGGAAGGGGGGAGAAAGGAGGATGTATGGGGAAACAGGAGGATTCTCCCCATCACAAGTCTTATGGAGGCAGAAGGTCATTCCCATGGCACAAGGAAGAGTTTTGGGGTGGAAAAATCCATTTTGCTGAATATGGTTTTGCAAAAAGCCCTTTTTCGTTTTCAGGGAATCCTCCAAATAAAAAGGCTGAACCAGCCCTGACATTTCCCTGCAGGAGAGCAGTCGTTTGCAGCCACTAATAAAAAGGATTCGACATGGGCTAATAAAGAGAAATGAATTCCTCTAATGGCCTAATTTTGCACCTTCAACAGGGCTCTGCCCACGAACTGGCAGCACTGTGGGCACATCACACCATGAATTTTTTTTTTTTGACCCGGTTCCAATATACCCCTTTCCCCCTACAAAACAAACAAACAAACCCCACCCCCACCTCCCCCCCCCCAAAAAAAAAAAAAAAAAAAAACTTAATGCAAAGAAATTCAGCCATTTCCCACTTGGAAAAATCCTTTTTGCGGTGCTGGGGTGGTTTAAGCATCATTTCCCACAGGAGCATCATCTCTACTGGTCCAAAATCTGTTGGGAAGTCCCAGCCCTGCTGTTGCATAAAGCCAAGAAAATAATGTAGCTGGGAAAAAAATTCACAGCAGAGATGTGATGCTGCTGGACCAGTCCCTGCAAAGATGCTCCCACGCCAAGCAGAGAGGGGGAGGATTAATTTTTTTCCCTTTTTCCTATTTTTTTTATGGGTTATAAACCTCCTGCTAGAGCATGAAACCTGGCAGGGTGACTTGTCCGGCATTTTTTATATTTCCCATCACATTTTCCTGGCGATTTCCCTCCAGGTTGGTCAACCGATGCTTACAGCTGATGCCTTCTGCCTTGGTGCAATTATTGAAAATTAACAAAAATCCATTGGTTTGGGTGGAGGGTATGGCCCTGGGAGGGCTAAAAATAACCCTGTGTGCATTTGATAGCTAATGACCTATACGCAATCCATATTAAGGTCTGTAGAGATGAATATTCAGATTTTGCATGCGGCAAAAAAAGGCTCATTGTGTGTTTAGAGATAAAAATATATTTTGGGTTAGTTTTGGCTGGTACCCAAAAACAAGCATCCAGGTTTAGGGAACCGAGTCCACATGTAGGACCAGACAACAATATTTTCCCCACTTTTCTGTGTGGGAAATACCTCCAAAAAGGTATTTCTGGCATTTTTTTTAACCTGCAAATTAAGGCTGCTGAAACTCCAAAGGTATTTTTCTGTTGTTTTCATTATCCCAGAAATGCTGCAAAAATCCTCGCAGAAGTGCAAAGAAAAGGTGGGTTTTTTTCTTGAATGGCATCTTTTGCCTTGAGAAAATTATTTCCATCATCAGAGAAAATCTTGAGACCAATGTGAATAATCCTCTGCGTTTTCCTGGAGAACTGGTGGGTTTATTCCGTGCCTTCATTCACCTTTTCAGACCTTTTGGATTCTTAATATTTCAATATTGGGAGTCAAAATATTCTAATTCCTTCACTTCCGAGCTGCAATTTTTGGTTCATGAGCCCCCTCAGTCCTGGCCATTAACTGGGGGATTAACGCTTAACCTTATACTTAATCCTAATTATATTATAATATTATACATTGTTGTTGCATCATTACTGCATACATTATAATATTGTACATAATTGCATATCAATTAATTGCATATTACTTATATAATTATACTATTTACATAATTATAATGTTACTTACTGCAATTATACTATAACATTACTGCATATATTACAATACTATATATTGCTATCTTCAAAGTGACAAAAAAAAGGGGACTCATCCACCTTGTGCCCATTGCTGCCCACGCCCTGTATGGATGCATGAACTGTGTATTTCAGATTAATATGTGACTTTACTCCTTCTGGGTGCTTTCTCAGCCCAAAATCGCATGGTTTTGCCAAAAAAAAACCCACACCAATTTGGGTTTCCTGGGGGTTTGAATATTTTGCAGGGGGGTAGATGGTCTATGAAGGAGCTCCACCACCATGTGTTATTATCAATAGTTATTCTTGCTAAAAAGGGGCTGATTGCTAATCCCTTCATTCCTGTGTGTTAATTAATGCACCGGAATAATAGCAGATCAATAAAGCATTATAATAATGAATGCATCAACAAATCGATGCATTAGCCAATGCATTAATTAATGCATTGCCAATCGATGCAGTAATAATGCATTACAATAACTAAGGCATTAATGAAATAATGCATTAATTCACGCATTAATTAATTAATGCACACTGATATTAGTTTGCATCACCTGTAGACGGCTCGCTTGTCGGCCTCCAGCTGCGCCTGTGGGTCGCCGGCTGCGGCGGGCACCGGCGCGTTGGCAGCCGCCGCTGGCGTGGCGAGATGCACGGGCTGTGCCTTGGTGGGCTGCTGGGCTGTGGCCGTCATCTGGGAGGGGGGAAAAGAAAATAAAGGAGAGGGAAAAAAAGGAAGAAAATAAAAAAAAAAAAAAAAACCACACCAAAAAAAAAAAAAAAGGAAAAAAAAAAAAAAACAAAGCAAAACAAAAAAAAAAGAAAAAAAAAAAAAAAGGGTGTTGCAGGACTTTTCCACTGAGTTTTGCAGCCTTCTACATCAAATTTTTAAAATTTAGGAGGAGGCAGCCCCATGACAGGGCTCTGAGCAGGATGGTTTGGGGGGGGAGGTAAACATATATTTGCATTTCATCTAATCGTGAAAACAGCAGGTTTAAGTTTTTCCCACTTTTTCCCCAGTTTTTCCACTTTTTATTTGGGGAAAATAAAGGAAAAAGCCCAACATCCTTATTGCACCAGCAGCAAAGCACAGGTGGTGGGCAGTTTATTAACGGATGCTTTGCAGAAGTCCCAGATTAAATCAGCTGCAATGCTGCTGCTTGCCAAGATTTTTTTCAAAGCAGGTATTATTGTCTAGACACACAGGCATTTTAAACTTTCTTCCAAAATTACGTGAGCCTCTTCCAACTCGCCAAGCCCAGGAATGAGTCATTTTTGCTCCAGCCAAAAAAAAAAAAAAAACCAAACTTCTTCACCAGTGCCCAAATCACCCATCTTTAGCCCCAGTGCTGCCCCAGATCGCCGATGCAATGGGGATCACTACATGCTGGGGCTGGAAATCTATAGGCAAAATTACATCTGCTATGTGATAAATCATTCTGCTAACTAATATTTTGCTTTTTTAAAAATTGCAATTACCTTAGTTAAATATATGTATTTAATATGTGAGATGCATGCGTGCCAGAACACGTGCAAATCACTGCATGTCCTTCTAGCATCACCCCTGAAACTGCCACCCCAACATGTACTGGATTGCACGTATTTAGGGGCAATTTCCACTTAAAATTAACAATTTCATTAAAGAAATCTGAATTATTTGCTGCTGGGCTGCAGACAGCTCCAACATACACAGCACGACACACTGCTTTATCATCACAAGATTCAGTTAAAAAAAAAAAAATTCAGGAAGAACTTTAATTGATCTGTATTCTAATGCATCAGCAACACACCCCTACCCCTCAAATCCAGTGGTTTTAGTGCAAAATCTCAGTGGAAAATTAACGCAAAGTGGGTATTTCACCTGCTTTGGCATCAAAATGTAAAAAAATTAGCATTTTCCTGTTTTCACCGGTAAAGCTTCAATATTCCCTTGAGCTAGGTAGCAAAAGGAAGACGCTGACTCTTGCTAAATATCATATATATAATTTATTTGCCTAATATATATTAATTTCTGTGTTTAGTTATATATAAATAAAATATATGTATATAATTTATTTGTCTAGCATACTTTATTTCTGTGTTTATATAGAAATAAAATATGTTTATTTATTTATCTAATATACTTCTATATTTATTTCTGTGATTATCTATATATAAATAAAATGGGGGGTTATATATATATATGTATATACACACACACACACACACATACATAAATACATAAAAATACCTATGTGTATACATGTGTATGCCCACAGTCTTCTCCAGCCAAACCCACACTTATACTCTGCTTCTTGCCACGTAAAAAACCTTCTTGCCTCCCTTAAAGGCTGAGTAAACCTGAGCTGGGCCAAAACTGCGACACCTTTTGCTTTTAAAATGTTTGACTTTAATATCTCCTGCCTGACCTTTTGCTGCCAATACGGTGCTTTTTTTTTTTTTTTTTAATCTCCTTTATTGTTCATAACTCCAAAGTTTGTCTCCGGTGCCTGTAAATTCAGCCGGTGCTATTTAATTTAGAATTCTTCCAACCCAGAAGCGGGTTTGATATCCACCCCTTTTCCCTTCCCCAGTGCTAAGTAAATTAGTGAAAATTTCCTATCCCAGCAGTTTAGATTTCTCTTTTTTCCCCCATTTTCTATCTAAAAGCAAAAATTAAGTGGATTTTGGGATGCTCCAGCCATGCCACTGAATATCTCCCCATACTCTTTCTCTTTTCCCCCTTTTTTCTCCCTATTATTTTCCTTGAAAATAACCTTTTTTTTTGAGGAAAATATCTTTTTTTCCCCCTTTTTTTTCTTTTTTATTTTTTCCCCCTTGTTTCTACTCATTTACCAGGACACCAAAGCCCTTTTAACATCCTGCCCCAAAATCCTGCCAAACTGGCTTTTTCCAGCCAACTCTGCAACTAATTGGGCTATTACGCAAAAAAAAAAAAGACTCCTCTGCGGCTGTTTTGAAGCCATTACCTCACCTTGGACTAAAAAAAAAATAATAAAAAATTAATAAAAATAATCCCAAGTTGGTGGAAAAGAGGCAAGAGGATGCTCAGATGAGAGTATTTGCAGCCCAATGGGGATGACAGGCAGGGAGGAAGGCAAAAATGCAACCAAAATGGCTTTATGGGAAGCAGGTAGGGATGGGAAAGGAGGAAAAAGGCAGCAGGTTTCTGGCTCGGAAGCATGAGCTCCTTGTCAGTGGGAAAATGGGGGAATATGGGGGAAAAGGGGCTGGATTTGGGTATGAAAATTACAGGTGTTGAAAAAAAATGCAGGTGGGGATTTTTAATTTTTTTTTTTTTCTTCAGAAAATGGCCCAAAACAGTTGCATGAGGGGAAAAAAGATGTGAAAAAAATATGTTAAAAAAAAATAAATTCTTAAAAGGTTTACAAATATGTAAATTAATTATGCAAAAATATGTCAGCATGTTTTTAAATGTAAAAACTTATGTTAAAAATATGTTTTCAAATATGTTAAAAATATTTAAAACTATTTGTAAAAATTTTTAAATTTGTAAAAAAAAAAAAAAAAAACAACGTTTAAAAAATGTTTTAAAAGTATGTAAAAAAATCCCCATATGTTTGAAAAATTCCCAGGTAAAGCAGAGATTTCTGAGGTGTAGCTTGCTCAACAATACACATCGCCTCCCAGTTATAGTCCTTTTTATATTATATTTCTTTTTGTTTCTCTTCTTTAGGAAGAAAATCCTTTGCTGGACTTAGTGGCTGCTCACCAGGCAGTGGGGGCTTCCCGCAGGTTTAAATGCGATAATTCCTCTTCCTTCATGGTTTTTTTTGAAGACTACGGCCAAATGCATCACGTCTAGAGAGCAACCATGGTGAAGGTCTTCAGGGCAGGAAAATCTCCTAAACCAGCAATATTTACCCTTTTCCTTAGTGTTTCACAGTGAAATTTCTCTCCCACCATCATACGTGGGAAAAACAGTGGTTCTGAGCCCAAAAACATGCTGCGGGTACCAGGAGTTGGAGGGTTTCATTGATCCTACTGAAAAATCAACATCTCCATCCAATTTTTAATCTGTGACTTCTTTTAAAAATATTTTTAGAATTTTTAAAAATTTGTATTTGTATAATTTTCCACTTTTGTCCCTGATACGACCACCTAAAGAGCACTTTTTGGGGGTGCAAAGCTGCTTTCATTGCTTTCAGTGCTGAAAATGCCTGTTTTTAAAAGAACTCTGTTTGCTAACTTTGGCAAGGAAATGGCTGAAGACTTTCCATTGGCTTTTTCTTTTAATTTATTATGTAAAATATAATTTTTATGCAGATTTTTACACAGACTCTTTAATTTTCAACAGGTAAGAGTTGCTTGGCAAGTACGATCACAGTCAGTATAAATGATGCTCTGTATTACATCCCATTAGCAGAACCAGCTTTTTTTTTTTCCTCCAAAGGGCACCTTTTCCCATAATTTCTGCTTCATTTTTGCACATTTCTGAAAATGAGGGTGATCACTTGCACAGCCTCTGCAGTAAAATATGAATACAAAGCTACCCCAACCCTATTTTTAGCACTTTTTTCCCAAAAATGGCCCTCTTGCTGATGAGGAGCTTGTTGTAGCTCTAATAATTTTTGAAATTTATCACCAACTCTCCTCACCTCTTCCCTGTCTTTGGAAAGAGGAAATTTGTGCAATTTGATTTTCTAAACCTTAGAAATCCCAAATTTTCAGGTGAAAAGCTTAAAGCAGTCACAGCATTGAGTAAAAAAAAGCAATTCTTGGCTGCAGCTTTTCCTCCAAACCCAGTAAACTGAAGGAAAAATGCTTCAGCACCCCCCCAGTAGGGGGAAAATGGAGGGATTTGGGCAGTGATGCTCCTGAGGGTCCCCAAAATTTAACATATTAAAAGAGGGGGGCAGATAAGTGACCGTAGGGGGGACATCTCTGTAGGTTGCTGTGGAAAACCTCGGCTATTTTAAAAGTCCCTTAAATTGCCCATTAGGACTAAAACAGCGTCGCGGCTCCCTGCTGCGTAAGCGAAAAAGGCGATGTGTTTCGGCGCAGGGAAAAAAAAAAAAATTGGGAAAAAAAAAACCTTCTCAGAGCAGAGCAGTGAAGCGAGCAAATGATGACACAGAAGTTGGAGGAGCCATAAAAACCCCACCGAGGTGTCGTTTGTGAGAAGTGACCTTTTCCCACCGAAGGAGACGAGCGGAAAGGAGACCCGGGTGGCTTCATGGGGGGTGTAAAAGTCGATTTATTTATTTTAGCTTGCAAAGAACAGGCTTGATTATTTTTTTTTTTCCTCCTGGGAGGGGAGACTTTTCTGCTTTTGCAGTCGAGATATGCAGCAAATGGGGGAAAACCTCAAAATTTCCCATATGAACCTCAAAAAAAAGCTGCTTTGAATACGGAGCCAGTTCAGCGCTCAGTCCGGATTATCCCCATTTGGTCATTGTAGCCAGGAAAGTGGAAACATGATATTAATTTGCCCCCCAAAAAATCTCAGGATGAGCTTCAAAGAGTGGGACAATCTCTGAAATCCAATCTCAACCCCCATGTCCAGCCCAATGGGGTGCTCCAGTAGAGTTTCTCTTGGACAAAGTCCTCTTCTTATAATAACTCCGTAAGAAAGCTTGGAAAAGTTATTCAACCCTTTAGAGCAACATTGTAAATGAAGTATTTTTTTCGCTCTGCCATGAGTCTCCAAAAAACGCCATAAAAATAAAATATAAGGCCATTCCTACAGCTAAACCTGTCCCAGTTTAGCCAGATGTTTCATCTTTTCAGCTTACTAACCTGCTGGCTGCAAACACACCACCATGTCGTCTTTCCAAGAAGACCTCTCAACCCCAGAATGAGCCAGAAAGGTGAAGAAAAGCCCACAGTTTGAGCCAAAACCCTTCAGTCCTGGAGACTGTGTCAAGAGGGGGTTTAATTTTTGCCAGTCCCTGAAATTAATATTTGGGGGTAAACCACTTTGTAATAGTCGTTATATAGGAAGACAGGATAATTAATGTAGGAGTTAGGGCTCATGAGGGGTATGGAGGAACCCACGGGTGCTGGGGGACACTCACCTGTGGGGTATCTTGGTAGGGAGGAGGGGGCACAGTCTGGGTGGCCATCATTGTCAGAGCCGGTGCCGGGGAGACATGGTGCATCCTGGGTGGGAGTCACATCGAGAACCTGCAGGCGGGAGAAATGCTGCTGGATTAAGGGGGATCTCCCCCTGCAAAAATCCCACAGAAGGGGGGAAAAAAAAAAAAAGGGGATAGAAAGGAGAGGTGACATTCCTCACACAAGCACCCCGGCTCGGTCCTCCACCACTTGCTCCCTGGAAAAAACCCAAGATGACTTGATGACCCATATCATAACTTGATGTTTATTTGAGATTTGTGATTTTGGATTAAAAAAACGTATGGGGGGTGAAGCAAAGAGGGTCGCTGGCAAGGACATCTTCCCTGGAGAACACCCAGGCAAGGGCAGAGGTCTTGGAGATGATGGTTGCCATTGGTGAATCTCATTACATTTTCTACCTTGTGAAACCTGGTGAACCCAGGGCAATTTCTTTGCACCCCTTATGTCTATAACCGCAGTGCCTAAATAGGAGTTTCCATCCCCTTTCCAATTATTCCTCCTTTTTGGAAGCAGGAAGACAAGTCATAAATGCAAAACTTTTCATTTTCTGAAATTATACACTAAAAAACCCCCGAAATGATGTGTATCTCTGCCTTCGACCACCATGGAGTCACACCCTCAAGCACTGCATGCTCAAACCAGGCGGAAGATTGATTATCCAATGTTGAGTTGACTGATATAACTGAGTCCTACATTGACTTGACCAACTCAGTTGACTCCTATGTTGCATTGACCAACCCAGTTGACTTCTGTGTTGAGTTGAGCAACACTATGGTGACTGAATGCACAAAAATGAGGAGAGAGGGTTCAAACCCTTGCTTGATTTGAACCAGGGAGCAAACCCTGATTTTGGACATCCCATGTGGACAGCCTTGAACCCAGGAGGTGGTCTGAGACATGCCACCCTCAAACTCTTTTGAAGTTGCTCTGCTTTCTGTAAATGCATAGTTTTATGGGTGAAAAACAGACTCTTTTGGGGGACAAATCTGTAGAGGAGCTCTTGGCTGGATGCTGTCCCCAGGGGTTGACCTGGTGGCAGATGTAACCAAAAAGCAACTCTTGACCCCAAAATGCCTCCTTTCCTATTATTTCACTGTAGCTGTGTGGTTGCTTCAGAATAAAAGCCAATAATCCTGCTTAAATCTTTAAAAAAAAAAACAAAAAAAAAAAAAAAAAAAAAAAAAACAAAAAAAACAACACCCTGTCCTGAGTCCTGTCTGAGGTTCTGAGCTCTGTATTGAGCCAACTCACAAAGCCATGTGGCAAAATCTCCACAGAGCCTCCAAAAGTGCATTCTCATGCAGTAACTCATATTTGTAAGAGATGACATCTCTAGAAGGTTTTGCCCTGTTGCAAGGCCTATTGTTGCACTGGGTTCCCTGTTGGCTTCTCATCTGGAGAAGAGCCATGGTACCACCCCATGAAGAAATGCAAAAAGTTATGTAAAGTCCTCTGATATTGTGAAGGGATCTACCGAAAAATAGTGTCAGCGCCACTTTTGCCATGAAATGGTGACGTGCAGGAAGAAACGCTCTCGCACAAGTTCAGTAAAACCAAGGCACATTTGGTGTCTTCAGATCAATTTCCACAGTTTTGGGGGGAAGCTTCACAATATTCTGGTCTTCTCCATGAGGTCCACAGTTCCTTGGGGAAAGATTTGCAATATTCTGGTCTTCTCCATGAGGTCCATGGTTATTTGGGGGAAGATTCGCAATATTCTGAACTCCATGAGGCTTCAGGCTTTACAGGCACCACCAGGCACCAAGAGGATAAAGGCACTGAGCCCACATGGACATCCAAGTGCTGTCTGCAAGGGATAAGTGTCGACCATTCTTATTATTTTGCATGAATACATTAATTTATTTTTCTTTTTCCTTTGCACTAGTATGGATGACCCGTGAATTGAGTATTAAGAGGACACACCCAAAATCCTGTGCATTGGGAAGGCAGACTGGGATCCCTGCATGACACAGGCCTCTTGCAGCATGAAGGATATTGCATTTCTGGGATTAAAATGATTCTTTTCATCCTTTTTCCCCCAATGGCAAAATAGTAGGAGGCAAAATTATCTGCTCTCGAGTGAACTTGCAGCTTAAAATTTTTGGTGTCCGATGTCAAAACTCAGCTCACAGCTGCAGGCACGTCCTCGAAGGGTAACACCAAGGGAAAATCTCCCCACTAGAAATAGCTGCAGCTGGAGAAAAGCAGAATTCAGCACCGTGACAGTCTAGCCATCTCAGTGGGAAGCTAAAAAAAATAGAGAGACTGCTATTTTGGGAAAAAAAACCCTGCTTGGCATGTATTGTTCATGCCAGGAACAAACCAACGTCTAGCACGCAGCGATTTATTGTGGGGTGCAAGTTTTCGGTTGAATATATTCCCAGAAGGTGGCAGTCCAGAGCCCAATTTAATTGCCAAATATCATCTAACCTGCTAAAATCAAACCATTCATTGAGGCTTTATGGGTGTTGATTTGTTTGGAGAATAGGACTTATAGCCAAATGTAAAAAAAAAAAAAAAAAAAAGGACAAAAATGAGAGACAGCTGTTGCCAATAGCTGTATATTTATCTCGGGGGAACCAAATGCACTCAGGCACCATAAATATCCAGGGAAGTGCCTCGTGCCCGCGGGAAAAGCCGGACGGGTGTTTCACGACACAGGAGCCCCCAGCCATGAATCTCAGGATAACAGTGCAAAGCTGTCAACCCCATGAATTTATTGGCAGCCAAATGCAGGGAAGGGTCGAAAGCTGCTATTTTATGCATTAATCCTTTTTTATTTTTTATATTTTTTTATTTTATGTATTAATCCTCTCTCTTTCTTTTTTTTTTTCCTCACCTCTTAAATCAATTTAGCCTCACGACCTCTTGACCATAAGCATGCAGATGATGAAACAAGCAGAGCATTGCCAAAACTCTGCCAACCCCTTGCAGAACAGCTCGAGGCAATGATCAAATCTTGAGCAAAGAGTGAATTTTGGGGGACTGGGAGTCGAGAAGGGCAGGAATTTCACCCAACTCCCGGGGCATTTGCACAGAGGAAAGAATTGGTGAGCAATAAAATCCATAAAGGCTCTTTCATTTCCGGAAGAGGCAGTATTTTAGGTTTTGGCAGCAACCTGAGATCAAAGTATCCTAAATTTCCTGATGAAATAAAATTTTTTCAGCTATCACTGAAATGCTGCCATTAAGTTAAAAATGTATTTCCCATAGAGGTTGCGTCTACCTAAAAGAGTCTCAGATTTATAGGCTGCTTTTTTGCCAGCAATATACTACCTCCTCTTTCAAATAAAAATAATTAAAGACTAAGTTGAGAAGTTGTTTTGTTTTTTTTTTTAGTGTGGTCACTGATGCCTTAAAACATTTAAAAAAATCAAAGTTCTGCAGACAGTCATCCACCACCCCCGCAGGTGAATATGACCTCCTTGATTAACAAAACAGCTGTAAAACCATTAGAAGTGGAGCTGAATGCAAAAAAAAAAAAAAAAAATAATCACATTGTTGGACTCCACGTTTTCAGTTGGTAATGTTAATATTAGCTTTGCAAGGTGCAACTGTTGTTTCCTAATCAATGGGAAAATGGGGATTGCTTTTTCTAGCTCATTCAGCAGCTTCTCCCCTGCAGCAAAACATGCAATTGGTAACAGTAGATTCAACATGAGGAATCAGAAAATCAGCTTTTCAGGTATTTCCTCTTCTCTATGCAAAGTTTCAAAATTACTAGATATACTTGAGGATGTTGTTCTGGCCACAGTAAGGTATTTTTCCGTATTAAGGGAAGACTGCCTTTTTTAAAGGGTGTATATATATGTTTTTTAAAGATTTGCAATGACACTATGTTAGTCATTCTCCCTCTGCAGCAAGCTGCAAGTTTTTTAAGCCACCATCTTCACAAAGGTCTTGTGCATGCTGAAGTTTATGAAATATGCATTCATTATATGCATATATCTAAGTTAAAATGAAGAAATATAGCTGAGGGGGAAGGGAAAGGCACCTCCAGAGGACGATACATCTTGCTCTAAACCGCCAGCAAGGACAGGTTCACTGTCGGCGGGTGATGCCAACTCTCCATTGGCCATAAAGTGAATCGAGAGCGACCCTCTCACTCTTGAACATCTCATTTCTATCTGCCAACTTTCACCCTTTTTGTTTGTTTTTACCAAAATTCACCTTTTACCCTGAAAGACAAACATCAGGTTTTCACACGCTATTAAATGAACCCCCTTATGCCAGTCTGAGCTCATTAAAAATAAACTGCATGTTGTCAAATGGTCAAATATGGGGAAGAATCCCATTTTTCAAGACATCACCCATTCTTGGTCATTCCTCATGTTCAAGTATGTTTCCAAGCAGGCTCATGTGAGGCCTCAGCTGGGGATATCAGGAGCATTTATGCAAGAAATACCACTGCACCACAAAATATTTTTAATTTTGTTAGGAATATTTGGTAGCCAAATTTCCTCTATCCAAACACAGGTGGGTTTTTGCACTGCAAGCATCCTTCGCTCTCAGCCAAGATGCTGATTCCCTAAATGCTGACTTTCATACCCTTCCTAGCATCCAGTTTCCCCATCAAGGTGTTTCCCAATAAAAAAAAAAAGACGAATCGAGTCTGTGCTTCTGCTAAACCATAGACTAAAGCAGATGGAGATTAGATATTTCCGCAGGATAAACCCTGGACCAGAACAAACCCCTTTTCTATTTTTCTGCTAAAAATGCTCTTGGTCAATGCATAAAGCATTGGGGTAAAAGGGAGAGGGAAATGTCATGTCAGACAAGGCCAAAAAATTCTTGCCAATCACTGGTTTGGTTTATCACTGGATGGAACATCTCCCTTGGGTGCAGGGGAAAACAGCATTTATTTATTTAATATTTGCAAATTGTCCTCCCAACACCAGCTACATAGAAAGGGGGGAGCTGCTATAATGAATTTCCAATGAGAACAACAATTACCACTAAATATTTCCCTCCTCTTAGAAGATACCCATCCCTAACAGGCTCCAGGGATATCTCTGCAACATAAACACAAGAATAAAATCTGCAAGAGCCAGTCAGAGCTTTAGTAGACAAGGTTAATGTACCTTGAATGGCAGCATTAAACAACTTTGTTCTTTTTTTTTAAGTGGAGAGCTGAGATACCTACATACATTTTAAAGTGTTATTTTTATAGAGGGATACCATTAAAGCACCTTCCAAAACAAACTGGCACAGGGAAACATCAAAGAAGCTTCTTCAAAGTAACCTGAAAATACTTGCATTTTGTGAAATCCAGCCCCCGGCCCAATAGAAGTTCCCAGAAGAGCAAATTGTGAAATTTTTCAGAGGGCAAATCAAAAAGCTTTGAAGTGAAATGTAGCTGAGGAACCTAAAAAATGCACAAACTTCCTCTTGCCGGACATGAATTGTCCAGGAAAAGTTTCTGATTGCCTGAAGAGTGCTTGCAAAAAATAGGGAGCGGATTAATTTTCCAAGAGTTCTTCACTGGGAGTAATTAACTGTGAATAATTTATGATCAAAATCTTGCTCGACGCTTTCAAACCTTGCCTTGTGCTCTTCGTTTTCAATCGCAACCCGCTAATCCCATGAGAAAGGAATCGCTGAGCATCTGCATTTCCATCACTGCAAACACCAAATCTCAACCCTATGCCAGTCCTGCAATGGGAAGCTCCCATACTCAAGGTCTCAGCCAGGTTCAGAGGAACTTATTAGAGGCAAAAGCAGTTGATGGTAAAAAAAACATGGTGAGTTTTGGAGAGATGGATTGGAAGAAGAGGTTTAAGTATGGGACTGAGATGAACCAGGTGCTCAGAACACAGGTGATTTGTGGTTTTTACACATCTTCTGTCCCACCAGCAAAGGTGACACTGGAGCTGTTACTTCAAGGATGGGCAGCCAAGAAGCAACGTGGTCAAAACCAGTCTTCCTCAGCAAAACCTTAGCCATCAGCCATGTTTTTCCATGCCAAACTGACAACTGCAGTCCTTCACCGATTTCTCAGCCAGCACAAGTACTGCAAAGTACAAATCAGACCAATGCCAGTGTAAAATCCACCTACAACCTCAACGTAGACATGCGCCAATGATTCCAGGAAAGATCCCACCGCAAACTATGCAATGACTTTTTGCAACTGTTGCTGCAGCTCATAAACACCCCGTGAGCAACACTGCAATTTTTAATAAATGCTTTCTTGGGGTGTGTATTTTGCAAATCAAAGCCTGCAAGCTCCATGCAAATCTCCCAACACCTGCACAAGTAGTTGTGCCAGGTACACACAAATAGAAACCTGCATTTTGGTGGGCTTGCCGAAATTGGTCAAAATAGAAACCTGATTTTGGGTGGGCTTGCAGTAATTGGGCTAAAACCAGCAGAACTAACCCAACTGCAGAAACACAGGCGAGACGTGACCGGGAGCGTGCAAAGATTTCCCCACCTGTGGGAAAGCCCCAAAAACAGAGTAATGCTGCAGCACACCTAATAAAAAACCTCTCCTCCCTTAAATCTGCCTCATTTCTTGCTATATCCTGCTATCACGCTTGCAAATTTTCCCTTTGGGAGAGGGAAAGGAATCCCTCTGGAGCAGGCTGTTTTCCTCTTTCCCATATGGCAGATAAATCAGAGCTCCTGACTCGCTGAGTTTCCGCTTCGCATCCCTCTCTTGCAGCTATCTGGCTCCTCTTGGTCTTACCTCCCCGCTGAAATTCCTTTTAAAATGCAAACTTGCCAATGAGAAATGACTCTACAAACCAGAGGACAAAACTAAGGTTTGCTTTGAAGCATGCCAGACTTCCCGGTATTGGCAGAGAGTTGTCCCCATCCAAGCCCTGAGTTGAGACATCAAAGATTGTGATGTCAGCTGCTGGCTTAATTGTCTCAATTTAAACACCTTTCATTTGCCCATTTGAAAGAAATTTTTTGGCCATATTTCCAGATCTAATGACAAAAGAGAGGTTTGAGACATGACGCAGTGATTTATACAAGCTCCAGCTAGCTAGGGAGTTACAAATAGTTTTGAACTCCTTTAATTATGCTTAATTACTCCATCTTCTCCATTTACCCTGAATGGTAGACCCTAAGATATATTCAGCCTGGTCTGAACTCAACACAATGAGGAAGCTGGGAACAAAAAAAGGACAGAAGTGGTCACGGTGTCAGACAGATGTGCCAATTTTTGTGCAACTTTTTTTGCACAGTTACAGAAGGTACAACCTGGCCTTGGAGGTACATCTCTGTGGATGTACAGGCTGCAGGAGGAGGAAAGCCAAAACGGTTTTCTGCCTGGAAAGTGGGGGACCCATGTACAAGGTGGAAAAGGCCAAGGGGAACCAAGTTATTTCTCATAAGATGTCTTCAGGATAGATAATTTCTATCATTAACCACTTAGAGCAATGCCAGCCTTCTGTTCCAGAAGTTAATTAGGTGGACACCCATCATGACACTGTTCTGTGCCTTTAATGAGAGATATCTGGACCTTGTTGGCACAATTTGCTGAAGAGATTGGGTTTGTTCTTCTTGCTGGAGGTGCTTCCCAGGCCAGGTTGCACTTATGTCCTCCACAGTCTCAGCTTTCTCCTAGAGGAGGAAAACCCCAGGTGCCCGAAGTACATCACAGGGCACCAAGCCCTTCCACACAAGTGGCAGACATCTCATGACACACATCACAATACTGATTGGAAAGAGGCAGGGAGGTTGTCTCCTAAAAGAGGTCCTTGTGGTGACGCCAAGTCCCCCACAAACCCACCAAAGAAGTCATTTCAAAGTGAACTCAACCTGTACCTTTATTAGAAAGGGGGCAAAACTAGACTAATGAGAAATTCAGCTGCTTCATCACATCCTTAATCCTGGTATTTTTCGGCCAAGGGAAGGTCACCAGCAAGAATCAGGGCTGAAAGGGCAGCCTGGGGGAAATAATCCTGCTGTTATTGGCTGATGTTTATTAAAAGGGACTTTCACAGGAAGCAAGACTCAAAAGAAAAGACTCCAAGAAAAGTTGCTCTGCTGTGCTGTGGACTAAATGGGTTTTCCCCTGAGATGCCCCCATCCTAAATATCATTGGTTTGGGAAGAAATTAGGCACTTTTTCAAGGTACCTGCACAAACTGAAGGCAGCACCTCCATTTTCAGTGACCAAAGGTTTCTCTTTGCTCCTTTAGGAGGAAGGTTGCAGCCAACAGGGTTTTATTTTCTTTGTCACCTGCTGGATGCCTACAGTTTTGGCACAGATCAAGCGTATTTGTCACTCTGTCAAGCCCTAATTTTAGCAATCGGGGTTAACTAAAGGACTGCGAGACCCTTGGATTCATGTACATCTTATTTTAAGCACCATGTTTCAGTTATTTTTAGCTGGTGACCATTTCTCCACATCCTACTGATGTGCCAAAATTCTGCAGTGATAGCAGCCCATATTTCAGGGTATTTGTACAAAAATATATCTGTGTTTTTCTCCAAGCTGGCCATGGCTTGTGGAGCTCATAACAACATGTTTTCAATACTTGAGCTTTAAAGAAAGACTCCCTTCACAGCCTGATTTCTAAAAAACCAAGGCAAACACGGCAAAAAAACCCTATAATTCCACCTTAAATGCTCATTGTATTTAGGGAAGGGGATGATATAATTCAGGTGTACCCAAAACCAGCAGAAATTCTCCCAAATAAAGCCCCACCAAGGTCACAACTCATCACATCCCATTGGATTACTATATATAATTGCACAGTTAATATACATAATTGCCTATTTAATATAAAACAAAACAGCCTTACCGTTTGGGGGGTGCTCGGGGAGCCACTGCCCTGCAGGAGTCCTCCCGTTGCCCCAAAACCAAAATATTCTGGGAAAGGATCACAACCTAGGAAAGAAAAGGATGAAATATTTGAATATTGAGAGAAAACAATGAAATGAGAAGGCAAAATATTAAGCAGAGGATGAAACTTTCTGCACTAGGGAAGGTGTTTTGGTGGCATCAACCAAGCCACGGTGGGCAAGTCCACTCTTAGTGCACTTTTTTTGCAGGATAGTGGGGAAAATAGAAAACTTAGGTGGGAATATCCCCTTGGAGGTGAAAGCAGGGCTGATGGCTGAGCTAAATAAGACCAGGGTTTTGCCTGGGTAGGTTTGAACATCTCCCAGGAAGGACAAAAATTAAACCAAAAGTTTCAGAGGTCGAACCGAGACTTGTCCAGAAAATAAAGGTGTGCTCGTTGTCGGCCTGGCCACAAACGATGAAGGGTGACGTGGTCCCGTCCTGTCCTTTTCGGCTCCTGGAGGGTGGTGAATCCCCAGCACGGGATCTCACTGAGGGTTAGTGGTACAATCGGGGTCTGAAAAGGAGAAAAAAAGAGAAAAAGCAATGAAATAGCACTGCTGTTGGCCGCGACCCCATTTCATGCTGATTGTCACCATCCCCCTGGTTAATTATAATCTTTGCTTGAGTGTAAAAGTGCTTTTATTCTCAGGCTCAGATGGCATGAACTACAGAAGAGCCATTAACTCAAAAACAGAGGAGCTCCCAGCAGTTATTTAATAAGGAAAAGTCCACACAGATGTTAGAGATGATGCCGCATCTACCAAGGATTTGGCCTTTACAGAGGCTGAGATTGGGATTTCTAGACCCACCTAAGCAGATCCAGTGGAAAAACAAAGATAGGCTGAGCAAGGATCAGCATGGCCACAGGGGTGTTTTGTGTTTGACTGCAAAAAAAGGAATAAAAGATATAAAATCCCCCAGATCTCTGAATATACACCACCTTTAGCAAACCCCTCTGACCTCCCTTATACGTCTAATAAATGTCCCTTGATATATATCACCTCTACATATTACCTCCATGTTAGGTGATAAACATCACCTGAGATCTCCAATATATGCCTGATATATCTACCTTGATATATATCACCTGGCAGAGAGCTCCTCAGATCTCCAGTATATGTCTGATATATGTCCCTTGATACACATAATCTCTGTCGAGCTCCTCAGATCTTCAGTATACATCTGATATATCTACCTTGATATAAATCACCTCTAGACAGCTCCTCACCAATATATATCTGACAAATACATCTCAGATATATGTCACTTGCCTGGAGCTCCTCAAATCTCCATTACATATCTGATACATCTAACATGATATATATCATCTCTGGCGAGCTCCTCAGATCTCTGACGTATATCTCATATATGTCCTTTGATACACATCACCTCTAGAGAGATCCTCAGATCTTCAATATACATCTGATATATCTACCTTGATATATATAACCTGGTACAGAGCTACTCAGATTTCTGATATATGTCTAGTATATATATCAATATATATATATATATATATATAAACACCTTGATCTGCTGAGCTGCTCAGATTTGAATGTACATCTGATATATGCACCTCTGGATACACATCACCTTTAGAGAGTTCCTCAGATATCCAAGGTACACCTGAGGGATGCATCTCTGCTATACATCACCTGCAGAGAGCTATGTCTTGCATGGTGAGGCCGTATGGGAGGCTCATTAGTACTGTTTTCCCTGGTTTTAAGTCCATCCCAAACCCCTTGAAATAACAATACTTGCATTTTTGTGCTCTTACAACCTGTATCCATCATCACAGACAGGAGTACGGGTCCAAAAGACAGAGGTATATGGGGAAGTTTGCATAGGAAGCATAATTTCTGGAAACCTGGACATCACCAAGGTCATTGTCTAAGGAGAGATATGGAAGCAACTGGATGATTTAAGGGCAAAATTGGGCAGAAGCCCTCAAACATGGAAAACCTGGTGAAAAGGGTGAAAGGTCAAGAGCCCCTTCACTTCTTAGGCAAGTGTAGGTCCTCCCAAGAGGTTTAGAGACCTAATCTGGGTTATGCTAAATGCTCAGAAGGGGCTTAATTCTTCCACTGCAACACCAGCTGAAATATCCTTATGGATATTTATGATTAGGAATAAAAAAATCCTACACGCTCATGCCTTGGAAAAGCATGTGCAGGCTGACGCCAAATACACATCGAGGACCTGGAACTTGATTTGCACTGGATTTGTCCTGACAACATGATGAAAAAGCTCATGTTTTGCAGCGATCCTTCATCCCTGTAAAGACTTTTTTCTGCCTCCTGGGAGAGCTCTTTATCATCTGGGCTCAACATGTAAACAAAACATGAAGAGTGGAGGAAAATGAGCAGATAAATAAGGTTCTGCCAGTGCTAAAAGAGCTCTGATAGAATGATCTTCATCCTTGGAGGTGATTAGGACCGAGGTCTTGGATGCTGTAGGCATGTAAGACAAAAATACAGGCTTGTGCACCTTCTGTACAAAAGATGCCATTTTCGTCCCCAGCACCAGCACCAAGAGCCAACCCCATCAGGGACATCTCCCTGAACAACCCTTGCAGAGGGAAATGTCTTTTTGAACCAGCACACACTTTTAGTGACTTCAAAAGGTATCCTTTGAAGTTTAGTGGAGGCCTTTGAAGTCTTCCCAACACAAAAGGGAATGGAGCAGGCGCCTCCTTCAAGATGCTCCGCCATGGATAACGCAAGCCAGCAAGATACAAGGTGTCCCAGACACCTGCTCGGAGCAGCTGCTTGAGGGTAATAAATGAGACATCATTTTTGACAAGTCATCAATTGCCCAAATTGCCCTAATCGATTCTCTCAAATGCCCTAAATCCTGATCTACTGGACCTGAATAACATCCCATGGCAGAGATGGGAACTCAGCATCCTGGGACCTCAGCCTGTACCCAGGTTGCAAAAAGCCAAGGGCATCACTGTCAATAAAGATTTAACTAAGTGTAAGGGAATGCTAATAAAGCTGACATTTAGGAAAAAAAATAAAATAGGATTTTCACAAAAAGTCTAGGATTTTAAAGCTAAAAGGCTTTTCCCATCATGTCATCTTATTTCTAATGTGAGCAGATCATGATGCTTCCAACCTCATCATATCAATGCTGTTTAATTGTGACTATAAGTTTTTAATAAATTTAATGTCAGCTTCTCTGACCTAAGTGGAAACAACAAATAGTGAAATCCCTAATGCTGCTGGGTTTCGCTGAATTACTTTTATTCCCCATGTTATGCCCAGAAGCAAGCTGTACAGACCTCAAACTCTACACCTATGGGAACAACCAAAGAAACCCTGTATGTGTGAAAAATAGTATAAAGGCAGAAATCAAAGCTCAAACTTCAGTTTAACTCTTTAAAGAGCTCCAAGGGGCAATCATGGCTCTCCAAGCACTTTGACAGCACTCACTGCCATCTGCAATGAGGACCATTGCAAGAAAAACATTTGATTAGCTGTTTTTTTTCCCACCATGGTGCAATTTCTGTAGCATCTCCAGCCTCTGAGTAAGGGCTGGGGCTGGGTGTTGGGAATGCTCTAAGGTACAAAAAGCAACATGGTATTTCATCCTTCTCCATTCCCAGTCCCACAGGTTAAACCTGGTGATGCACTAACCCCACCCTTGCCCAGAGAGAGTGAAAAGATTTAAGACATGCCCATACACACACAATATTTCTGTATTTCTGCAAAAGCAAAGCTGTTTTGCTGCAAAACAGTCCGGGAGAGATGAGTCCATTGGTGGAGTTCCACTATAGGCAATTTGCATTATCCAAAGGAGGCACGTATGGAAATATCGGACACACCACCACCACCACCCCCCCCCTGATGTGCACATGTGTGCACATCTGGGCCCGGGGAACAAAAGCGGCCTCGCTACGCCGCACCGATAAATAATGGAAAGTCAAAGTGCCCCGCAGAAGTGGCACCATACTGTTCAGCCTCAGGCGAGATGGAGGAAAATTCGGTACCCATGAGGTCTGGAACAGTGGGATTAATAACACATCAATTTTAATGCAGGGTGGGTTGTGGTGGTTTTTTTCCCTTTTCCTTTTTTTTTTCTCCTGCTTCACAAACAGTAAAGTGAATGTTTGAGCATCTCGGTGGGGGGTTAATGAGGACTCTGATTAGTTATTCAGATTTGCCGATGCTGCCTCCATCCATCTTCGGATGGGGGAATAACAGGAAAGGGTTTGCAGAAAAAGCTCTTAAAGACTACCTGCTTGGCTTTCGCAGCTCAGGCAGATGCAGGTTTCGGGGAGCTCATGCTTCAGGGGTCTCCAAAACTGAAATCTTAGCACCAGCTTTGTAGTGGAAAAGCACATTCTCCCATCATTTATGTGATATGCAAAAAGCTGCTGCATGTTGGGCCATGTTGATTCCTATAAAGGCTCAAGGGAAAGTATTTGGATTTGTGGGGTTTTTTCACTGGGAAAACAAATTCTTGGGTGCTTTTAATAAAAATTGTGTGCAATTATAGTCAGAGGTGCATAACCAAAAATGATGGATGCATGGATTAACTGTTGCAAGGATGCACAGATGAACAGATGCATCAATGCACAGATGCAAGGATGCACAGATGGAAGGAAGGATGGACCATCCCATAAGCCACTACCAGTCTGCAAAAATGCAACATCGTCCACTGTTGCAGTATTTCACACAGCATCCCATAGAAGATAATATGTCCTTGAGAAAAATCAAGGACCTCACCTCTTTGTTCTTTGGCTCAGAAATATTTTAAGCAAGTTGAGCCCACCCACTGCTGGTGTATTTTGGGGTTTATTTCTAGATTTAGGCTTTTGTTCTTCACCTGCATCAAAAAAAAACAAAAGACAACCAGAGAAAATAGATGGCACGTCTCTGAAATGGTGATGCAAAAAGGTTTAAAGGGTGGAGCCAGCGCTGAGTGTCATGGCAGTGCAAAGAGGTGTCATCAGAAAAACTAGGCATTATTTTAGGATTCACTTTAGGATTCATTATTTCTTTGTCAAGAAATACTGTAAGGATGGACTGGGTGGTGACAGCACTCTCTCAACAGTGAATTCATCCCAGTGATGAACATCAGCATTTTACTTCTAGATGGCTCTGGTTTTGAGACTCACTCAACTTAGCATCCAAAGGAGGCTTTTGGGGGGATAAACTCCCCAGTATTTGTGTCACTCCCCATAGCGCCTGCCAGGATCTCAAAAGAAAGACAAACTGGAGTTATCCATCTGATTTTGCAAACGCTGGGGCTTCTCCAACCCAAGCAGGCTCTTTTCCCTGGGACCGCCTCCATATGCTTCCTCTCCATTTTAAACGGCATGTTAATTGTTCTGAATTAACAGCTCCAGCTGGAGGAGCAAACAAGCAATTTGCAACCGTAAGATAACACCCAACTTATCTCAAGTGATTTAAGTTGGGGTTTTTTTGAGGGGAAATCTTGCCTTTCTGTTTTCAAACGCACTGATCAGAGCTTGGCTAAAATCACATCACCTAGAGGATTAATGCACCC